CATTGTTCCAAGTCTCGCTTCTTCGGACATCAGATCTACCATCCGCCATTCCTGTCCCCTCATCCTACTTCCTCGACTCCAACTCAGAGCGTCATGTTGGTTTAAGTCCCAATTTACTAAAGCTAAATCGCTTCTCGACGGTAAATTGGCCACCCAAGATATACTCGGCGCCAAGGACCCGGGCTATTTGCGACACAAGCCGCGCCTGGCAGCTTTAGAAACCTCCGCCTACCTGGACCCTTCATTTACGATGAATCGCATGCCTCCTCCGGACGGGCACCATGGGCACCCGGGTCCGCATACAGCATATGAGCCCTCATGGCGCCCTTCATACCCACCGACTTTCGACAACCACTCCTCCGACTCCCGCCGCTCCTCCGCAAACTCCCAGACACCCTTGCCGCCTCAGCCACCAGGATACCCCGTGATGCCCAACCGTGAGCTGCCACAATTAATATCGGAAGGCCCATATGGTCGCCCAAATGGCCATGGCCTGCCCCTACATGCGCCCGTGCATTCCCCGCAAGATCCAATCCCCCCCCCACCCAAACTTCCACCAGCCGATGAATGGCGCGCCGCACGAGGGCTCACCGGATTATCGCGCTCGTATGGGCTACCCACCCCCGGATCAGATTAACAGCGCTGAACATACACCCGTTTCGGGCGCTCTGCCTCCTGCTTCACAGTTCATGACACCCGGTGCCCAAATGGCGAGTGCTACACCACCTGCTGGATACGACCAAGCGTTTTATCAAAACCAGACCTTTGGAGCTCGTCAGCGCAAGGCGAATAGAGCTACGCAGGTATGTTGAACTAGTAGAAGATGATTGTTTCGGGGAAATTGGGTTATATTTTTTTATTTTTCTTACTAATACTCGAGCTACACAGGCTTGTGATCAATGTCGAGCTAGGAAAGCAAAGTGTGACGAGGGACGACCGAATTGCAGTCACTGTAAAGAGAACAACCTTGGCTGTGTCTACAAAGAGATACCGCCGCACAAACAAGAGAAGACTACCCAGCTGGTATTGGACCGGCTCTCCCAGATAGAGAACCGCATGGAGGAGCGAGCCAACCGTATGGATGAGCGTTTCGAAAGAATGCAAAAACAAATGCAAGAGCAAATGCAAGGGCAAATGTTCAACAAGCTGGTCAAACAACCAACTCAGACTGTCCAAGAACGTCCAGCCCTCCTGCCACCACCACCACCACCGCCGCCGGTCATCAAGCAGGATCCACCTCTCAAAACCGAGATGCCTCCGACCCAGGTATCGACTCCAAATGTTTTGGACCCCGGGAGTAGTCAGGATGCAGCCGTTTCGAAATTTGGCCAAAATGTTGGACCCATGGACCCGAGGCTCGAGGATCAGAAAGAGGCTGAGGGAGAGCTCTCCATTCCAGTAGAGCACACTACTGCAGCTCACAAGCTATTGATGTGGCCATCAATTAAAAGGCTGCTACACCCTGCTGAATATGACGAAGATTATGTGATGCGGTTGGAGGAAGAGCGCGGTCTCATCAGCATATACGGCCAAGGCGAGATCTCATTCACTGCCGATGACAGTCAATTACCAATAAGTGGCGGTGACACAAAGGCCCGGCCCGATGGAGATGGCGCAGGACCGAATGCTGACGTTGACATCGACGAAGCTGGGAATTTGAACCTGGATGCTGCGACCGCTAGGCGCTACTATGAGAGCTACGTCGCGCACATGTTTAAGCTTCACCCATTCCTTATGGAAGGTGAATTGAATTTCAAGATCGATTGCTTTATCCGATGCTATTGCCGCCCCAGCGCCTCACCGAGTTCGACTTCCAATTACACACGACTAGCTCGCGATGGTCCTCCACCAGCCAAAAGGAGGCGGTCAAACGACAACCTGGGTGTGCGTGGCGAGTTCATGGAAACTGTCTCTAACCTGCCGCGGCCACGAGTCGGTAAGAATATTGACAATGCCATGGTCTTGCTGTGCCTGGCCCTCGGAGCGATTTGCGAAGCTCATGCCCCTCTCCCTGGGCCTATCATGGACAAGAAGGTTGACTACCTCCACCAGTACATTCCTTCCCCGCTGCCACCATTTGTCCCACCGCCGACTGTAAATGGGACATACGTTACTAATGGTGTGCTTTCCCCCGCAAACTCTGACTCGGCGCCCATGCAGATGTCGCTTTCGAGTTCTCTTTATGCTATGCCAACTCAGTCTCCTGGTCAATCTTTCTCAACCGCTCCAATGAACGAAGGCATAAAAGGCTTGTCAAGGAGAGACGTGACAAACACGCATGATGAACAAGGGAACACTAAGAACTATCAGGCCATTCCTGGCCTGACCCTCTATGGGTACGCGACCGCAATATTGGGCCATCTGCAGGGTGGCAACGAACTGGAACATGTCCAGTGCGGCTTGCTTGCTGGTCTTTATGCCGGCCAGCTGGCCCATCCCTTCCAGAGTCACAGTTGGATTTCTCAGGCCTCAAGGGCTTGCCAGGTTCTTGTGAGAACCAAACGATATGAGCGACTCGAAGAGGGGGCTACGCAGGACTTGTACAACTTCGCATACTGGACCTGTCTGCAATTGGAGAGTGATCTTCTCGCAGAGCTGGACATTCCAGCGAGTGGCATCTCCCGTTCCGAGGGTAGGTTGGCTATTCCAAAGGGGAAATGGACACTCGTTCTACCGAACGATCTCAACGCTCCCCAAACGATGATGATGCTGTTTTATTCTGCTCAAATTCATCTACGTAAAGTCTTGAATCGTGTTCATACAGACTTATACAAGGTCGAAAAGCAAGGTCAGACACGATGGTCATCCACCGTTCAAGAGGCTCTAAGCCTCAACCTCGACCTCTGGCGGAAAAGCCTACCACAAAGCATGCAGTGGGAGGAAAACGATCCGCCGGCAAACGAAATCAACGCCGCTCGCATGCGTGCCAAGTATTACGGTGCGAGGTATATTATTCACCGACCTCTGCTCTACCACGCCCTGCATTACGGCCACACAGGTGCCCGCGTGGGTCCAGTTGGTCAGTCTTTAGTGGACTCGCCTACATCGCAACAGTTGTCCCCTTCAATGCTACACAGCGCCGCTCGGGCTCCGAAAATGGCGCGTATGTCTAGTGAGATGGGTTCTATGCCGGCCGCAGTCTCCACTGACTGGCAGCCACCCAAGGTCCGTTTACACGAACTGCCGAAGAAGCTGAAGGCTGCCTGCGACATCTGCATTCAATCGGCTATCAAGAGCACAGAGGCTTTTGACGGTGTAGGTGGACATCGCTTGGTCGTTACCAACATCTTCGGCACTGCCCATGCGTAAGGAATCCTCTGACACCCGTTCCGGGGCATCGGATATAGAGATGATACTAACAAACTTTCTTCGCAGACAATTTGGCAATATGCTCGTCCTATCTGCAACTTTTATGTCAAGTCTACAGGAGCTCGTCGAACCAGAGCAACTGAACCGTCTCCTCGTCCGCACCATAGGCTTCCTTATCCAAAGTGAAAACATATCCCCCACTCTCCGTGCCGATGCTCGCATTCTCACTCAGATCTACATCAAGATCTTCGATCATCCTCCTGACTTGACGCAAGCCAACAGCATGAGCAGCCACACCCCAAGCCTGAACAGTCACACTCCAAGTCTGAGCAGCCAAACTACCAGCATGAGCTTCCCTTAAATGTGCATCTAGCGTCAGGGTTATTTTTTTTTTTGTCCCGTTCCTGTGGGCTTTGCAACCCAATATCTGATACCCTATCTCCTTATGAACACATCATGCATGTCCCTGTCCCTGTCCTTTTAAGCCCGAGCCCCTCCGTGCTCGACATACGTTATCTGTCTGTCATCTATACCTTGTGCACTATACGGTTCTTTTCATTGATGATTCCCCAACCCTATCCGATTCAACACTCGGCACTCGTGCATCTGAGAGAAGATCAGATTACATGGGCTTTCTACGAGGTGATTGATTGGTGTGGCTTATTTTCATACGTTGAGCAGTCTTCCACATTCTTTCATTGCCTCCCTGATGTAATGACTGCACTGGACTGGATTGGCTTTGACTCGTTCTTTTTTGCTTTCCTTTTTCTCTCTTTTTACATTTGTTTTTGGGGCCGAAAGGATTTCGTGCCTCTGACGGTCCTTCCTCCGACGGTCTTCGTGGAGATACGTCTCGGGAATGGAGTTATTGTAATGTGTCTTGTGTGGTTATTTTGCTTACATTGCATGCATCCCAGGTCATATACGTCTGTTGGCTCTTCTTTTTTGGATGCTCTTACAATATGCCAACTTATTTCTGTTGATTTGGCTGCGCCATATCGTTTTCTATTCAATGCAGAGGGTTGCATTTTCGTGGTTGGCTTTTGGTGTTTTGATTTATACCTCATTCTCCAGTTTGGGCTGTATTTGGAGTTTTGTTTGTTGTAGATTTTCTTTTCATTGGTTTATATGATTGGACAGAACACAGATCAATTGAAATGAAGTCTGATATTGCTTGGTCATGTTGTAAACTGGGAATGGAGGCTTTAGGGTTCATGGCTCATGCACAAGTTTGGAAGTACCGGACTATGATGGCGCTTTGTGGGCCCTTCCGCTCCCACAGTTTCAGCTTCCATGGTTTTATCCGGGCTGGCCGATATCAAACCAAATTTATTCAAAGGTCTAATGAGAATAAACCACGCTTATATTTAACCATATCATCATCAAGAAAGCAAATGCATGCTGCTCGCGGACCTTGGCTTCCCCACGTTGTGCTGATCATGATCCAATCTAAAGGCACGGGTCAGCTTACTATGTAGCCCTGGGGATGGTATACATAGATATTGCCCCGCTAGCGATGGTCGACGTGCTACCGAGCGGCGTACATCATTACCGATACGACATAATCTGCGGGAGCAATATAGCAGACGTAGCGTCCAAGATCTGTAGTCAATTTGGCCGGCCCACCATCCTAATCAACAACATGGGTATCTTCAAAATGCCTCAAAACAACACTAGCCTAGACGCTTTATATGTTTGAAGTCAACACGCTGGCCCACTACTGGCTCGCGCAGGAGTCCCTGACCGAAATGCTCGAGGCAAATTATGGTGTGGTTGTCAATGCTGCTTCGCTGGCTGGATATACTGTTAGGCTTAATATGGTTGATTACCCGACAACATCGAAGGCTGTCTACGTGCGGCTATTGCGTTCCACGGGGAACTTGCTGCTGAGCTGGTTACGCACTATTATGTGTCTAAGACTCGTTCTGTGCTAGTTACACTCGACTTAACTCGGACGAATCTTATTAGGGGTTTGACTCCTGAAGATACTTGGTTTAATGCCCTTCTTCACCCTGAGGCTGTTGCTGAGGAGGTTGTTAAGTGAGTTCTCAAGGCCGAGAATGGGCACGTTAATGTTACTGGATCTGCTAGGTTGATTGCAAAGTAAATTAGTACGTTGCCTGGGTGGTTACGGTATTCGCTGAGGTGTAGGTTGGAGAAATTAAGGAGGGCTGATCAGGGTGATTCGTTGCTTAATACTTAAGATGGGGTGTTGTGTCTATATATTTGTAGTATTATTTGGTGGGTTAGTGCATATATTGCACTGTTATGGTCAATAATAGGAAATTGAATATACTGTTTTTGGTTGCTAGTGATCCTGCGGCTAGCATGTGATTCTTGTTCTTTATAGGCATTGAAGTGTACCCTGTGCCGAGAAGTACAGACTAGATGAATTTGGACTAATCATCTGTATTTTTTTCGATGTATATCTGAGGTACTGAGTACTCCGTAGTTTGTAGTTGTACGGAGTATAGATGGCTGGGTGAAGAACCTTGGAAGTGAACCAGCCCCATGTTGGTCCGTGCACGATGCTTCACCGCGATTTTGATTCGCTCCACTTGTTGCACCGACAGTTCATCAGCGCTGTGAATCACATTTTTCACTGTCGCATTTTTCCAGCAGATCGTGTACATCTCATCTAACCCCTATCACACAGATTCTATCCGATACTCAACACCAAAGAGGAGAATAAGGTGAGGTTAAGCGCCACAGGTCAAGTTGAGATCCACTGGGGGCCTTTCCCGGGTACAAGATCCACGGGTCAGCTCCGTTGTTTACTCCCCCCCAAACAAACCCATAACATTGCATTCTCTCTGACTTACAACTAACACTTACCCTCCCCATACCTCCCCCCTTCCAATCATTACATTCCTTTCATCCCACATGGTTCACTCTGGCTATCCAAATTAATTGCCCACCATGTTCAAAGCCCTGATGGGCGGGGGCCGCTCGTCGTCCTCATCCGACGTTCGCAGCAGCTCCAAGAGCAGCCGGCGCAAGTCCGAAAAACCCGACAAGTCCGACACAAGATCGATCTCAAGTCGCAAGTCCTCACGGGGTGACGACCGTGACCGCGGCCTGGGTGATTTGTCGTCTTACTCGCCATCGACTTCCCGCAGTAAGCGTGGCCCACCTAGCATTGCCGGCGAATCTATCGCATCAACCTATGTAACCGCCGAGCCAGAAGCCATTGATGACTCCGATCGCTATTATATTGAACGCACAGCAAAACGCAGAGACAGTGAACGGGAAAGCAAGAGTTCTCGTCGGCGCGACCAGGACCGATCCGACAGTCCAGAGCGTGAAAAGAGAAGGAGCCGCCGGGGAACACAAGATACTCTGGACGATGACTTGGATCGGGAACGCGAGCGTCGCGAGCGTCGCCGCACTCAGTCAGGGGATCCGTATGTGCCCCCGATCTCCACAAGCATGCCGCCTAGCGCCCCCGGCGCGCAGTTTGCCGCCGAGATTGGCGCCCCGGGATTCTCGCAATTTCCCATGCAGTACGACGCTGGAATTCCATCTGCAGACCATTCGCCGGCGCATGAAGTTCCGTACGACCCACACGTGCAGCAACAATTTCCCGGCCAATTCCCAGAGCAAGTCGCTGGGCCGTATCGGCCGCCTAACCCTGCTGGCGCTGCGGCAGACTACTATGGTGACCAAGGCCAGTCTGTTGAGCATCAGCCCGGTATTCGACCGGCTCCCCCAAGTGTGCTTCCGAACACCCAGGCACACTTGATGGCAGCATCTCCATCGGCTAACCCACCCCCAGAGCCCAGTAGTTTGGGTGAGACTGGTGCAGCGGCGGCCTATTTCGACGATGACTTCCATGCTCCAGTACAGGAAGGTCAGCCGCCAGCAGTGTCTTCATCTAGGCCCCCGAAACCGTCGAAGCCGTCGAAGCCGTCGAAGCCTTCTTCATCGGGAGTTCTTCCTGCTGCCGCTGTCGGAGCTGCCGCTTATGGTATTGGTGGTATGATGTCTCATTCTGAGTCGCATTCCCCTCCGCAGCACACTACTTCATATGCGCAGCAGGGCCAGCCAGTGGTACAGGGCCAGCCAATGACATACAACCAGCCAATGGAATATGATCAGCCGATTGCAAGCAGTAGCTACCAGCCTCCTTCCAAGCCGTCCCACTCTCATAGCTTCAGCGAAGGTGCCGGTATTGCGGCTGCAGGCGCTGCAACGGGGTACATGGTGGGTCATCACCATCACTCCTCGAGCCCCGAGCACGCACCACAATACGCTTTCCAACACCAAGAGCAATATTCTCAAACTGGTGGTATACAAGGTATGCAACCATATGCCCCTGGCCATAATAATGCTTTGTATGCCGCAGGCGCGGGAGGATATGCTGCTCAAGCTGCCTACAACCCGGGTTTCTATCCTCATGGACCCAGCGCGCTAGCTTTCCAAGAGCGTCAGCGTGGCCCCATGGGAAGATTCGTTGATTTCTGGCGTGACCCCGAGGCCGTTGGAAGATTCGAGGATTACACAGAATCTATCGGTGTGTGTAAATACTGTTTCCAACCTGGCACGAGCTCCGTCGATGCCCCTCGCAAGCATCATTATCACAGGCGCCGCCGAAACTCCCCCGATCGACGGAGCAGTGGTAGTTCCAGAATCAGTAAGGTCAGCCGATACAACTCCTCCGAAGATGAAAGCCGCCGACGCCCAAAGTCCAAAAAATCTTCCTCGTGGCTGCCTGGCATGCTAGCCGGTTATGCGACCAAATCGCTCTTCTCAAGCAAGGAGTTTGACGATTCTTATAGCATCCGCTCCGGTCGAGTGGCCTCATCTCACGGGGAAGAAGACGACCGAAGGAGCCATACCTCTCGTGGTGTGACCCGTCGTTCTGGCCGTAGTCCTCAAAGAGACCATTATGCAGGCTCGAAGCATGCATCTCAATCTGGATATTCTCGGCACACACGTTCCCGATCGCGGTCTTCCTCTCGATCTGGCCGGCATTCGTATTTGAAGGAGGCTGCACTCGGTGCCGCAGTGGGTGGGGCTGCGCTAGCTGTTGCAAAGTCCCGTAACCGCTCCCGCTCCCGCAGTCGTTCTCCTGAAAGACGACAACAACGAAAGGATTCATCCTCATCATCATCCTTTGTCCATCTTCCCAGGCCCGCCAAGAAGTCCATCGTTGGTGGTATCGGTTCTTTCTTCACTGCTTCTTCCGAGAACAGAAAGGAACGTCGCACCAAGAAGCGGAGTGGCTTCTTCTCTTTCAAGAGTGGCTCTTCATCGTCTTCATTGGACAATGATCTTGCCTTCGGAGATGGGTTCTCGAAGAAGTTCTCCAAGTCCAAGAAGAAGGGCAAGAAGGGTAAAGATGTTGATGCTGCTTTGGTAGAGCTTAGCGACACGGCAACCCGTTTGGCCGGCTCCTCGCCCCACGGTCCCGGGCGCAGCACAGGCCAGATGTATACACCTCGACCTCGACGGTCCAACTACGCCCACTCTACCACACAGGATGAAGAATGGGTCGATGCCGAGTCGGAGGACTTGTCTTCTTCAAGTGTTAGCTCTGCACTCGCGTTTGGAGGAAGCAGCGTTGACTCTTCCTCCGACTCCGCCAGTAGCAAATGGGGCTGGAGGTGGGGAAGTAAGAAGAGGAAGGACAAGCGGTCGAGTGCTACAAATGCCGCTCTGGTAGCCGGCGCTGGCGCTATTGGAGCCGCTGCAATCTCTTCTGCTCGTCACCGTGATAGCGACCCGCCAAGTAGGTCTGGGAGCCTGCAGCAAGTTTACCCAATGCCTACTTCCGACCCTTCTCGCTTCGATGTTGCAAAGATGTCCCCATCTGTATCTGGCGGGGAACCAACCCTCATCCGCCCGGGACCTATTCCCCTTCAGCAGCCTCAGCCTTTCACGCCTGTCTCCCAATCTGTGTACACTACCCAGGGAGCTGTTCCGGGGCCCATTCCCGCGTATAGCGCCCCGGCAGTCCCGCCGCTTTTCGCTAATGAAGTTGAGCACTACGACTCGCAGTTTCAAATTACTCGTGATGCAGCATGGGCACCAGAAGCGTCAACATACGCCGACCGCCGCAAACCCCGACGCAGTGATTCCTCTCCTGTTTTCCCCACCCAGGAAACTGCTTCCAGCCTCAAGCGCCGGTTCACTGCTAAGGAGCAAGGCTCCGTGCAATTTCACTTGACGGAAGAGCAAGCAGAGAGGGAACGCCACCTTATTCGCCGTGACAAGAACTATCGGGATGAAGTTGCTGATCAGCCGGTTCAACTGATTGACCGAGAGGAAGAGCTGGCCCTCCAGGAAACTGAGCGACGAGAGCGCCGCCGAAAGGAGCGAGACGATGAGGAGCGCCGGTATGCGGGCGAGAGAGAAAAATACTCCTCATCCTGGGTTGGTGCAGCAGCAGCCGGAGTTGTAGGCGCCGCCGCTGCCAGCACTATTCTCTCGCGCAAGACAGACGATGACGAAGCCTCTCAAGCTAGCCAGCGATACAATGAGCGCCGAGAGAAACGCCGCGCCGAGCGGAAGCGCGACACTGATACAATCGCGGATAGTTCGATCGTGTCGCGGTTCGAGCCCACTCAACCTATTGATGAAGAAGTGACTACGGTGGAACACCGCGAAGACCAGAAGAAAGAGTCTCCTCGATCTCCCCGTCCAGCACAGATTTACGACAATTACGCAGAATTTTATGCCCCTGAGGAATTACGACACAGCCCAGATGTTCACGATCGCAGCAGCGGCTCCCCTAATATGCCAACCATCGTGGAGGTAGAGCCTGCTAGCGAACGACGTACACATGAGGAGCCTGAACCGACAGAGGTAGACTACTCATACGAACCCTATCAACACGTGGACCGCCTTCCATGGCCAGTCCCTGGGCTCAATCTCATTGAGCCAACTCCTCCTCATAGCGCGAACGGTGGTTCCGTTCGCGACGTTACGTCCCCAACGCCCCCTGTAAATAAATCTTATGATACCCAGCCTCGCGAACGACCAACCGGCTCCCGGGTCTCCTGGGGCGAACATGAAACTCACGAATACGAGATCCCCTCTTCTTCTGAACAGGACCCTCTTGAGCATGACATTTCCCCTATCGAAATTTCTGCGAAGGATGTTCCTCTCCCTGCATCCGAGATATCCCAATCCAAGGGTATTCCCAGCACGTCGGAGTACGGCGCCGATATTGAATTTGCTGCTACAATCGCTGCTGCGACGGCCGCAGCTGGATTTGATCCCTCTCTGATCACAGATGACCCATCCTACCACACCCGCACTTCCCCTCCTGGGTCGGAGGATGAACACACATTTACCTCACCCTGGTCTGCATCAGCTCGGAAGGAACCCCACGGCTTCGTCGAGGGCGAGATCGAAGAAATTGACCCCAAGTCTACCAAGGTTATGACCTCCGCCCCCGAGCACGTGGCCCAGGACAAGGATGAGCTTTTCTTCGACGAGCCAGAATCCTTCTCCAGAGATCGGGACATCTCCTCAGGACGCCGTGACAAGGCCTCGATTGCTCAGGAGGTCATCGAGCAGCTAAATGGCAAATACGGCAAGCGCGATCGTACTGCTTCGCCTGAAAAAGACGTAGATGCCTTCTCGATGCCCGGTGGCTTTGATACAGCCGAATCTAGAGACTTGCCTGACGCCAGATCCGTGGTCTCAGCGCCGGCGCCTGTTGCCATGGACCCAGAAACTCCGACCAAGTCCAAGTCTAAGAAGTCGAGCCGGAGTGGCGATGCCTTTGATATCCCCGAGTTCCAAGAGCGGGAACTCGCCGAGTCTCCTGATTTGAAGGATGAGACGTCGAAGTCCCGCAAGTCCCGGCGCAGCGGCGATGACTTTGAGATTTACGAGTCACGGGAGGTGTCTCCATCTCGGGATGAATCCTATTCAGTTATCTCCGCTCCCGTATCGAAGGGCGAGACATCCAAGTCTAAGTCCAGGAAGTCCAGGAGGAGTGGCGATGACTTCGGCATTGCTGAATACCCAGAGTCCGTGGTTCCCGAGTCTCGTGATGATTCTTTCTCCGTTATTTCTGCTCCTGTTTCCAAGGACGAGACATCCAAGTCCAAGTCCCGCAAATCTCGACGGAGCGGTGACGACTTCGAAATCTACGAGTCACGCGAACCGTCCGAATCTAGGCATGACACCCGCTCGATTACATCTAGTCCTGCCGGCAAAGAGTACGAGTCATCTAAGCCAGGGAGATCGACACGCAGTGGAGATGACTACGATATCCCTAGATCGCGAGAGATCTCCGAGTTTCACGACGACAACCGGTCAGTCTTCTCTGCACCTGTCTCGAAAGATGAGACCAGCAAATCTCGCCGGTCTCGACGCAGCGGAGATGACTTCGATATCTCCCGATCACGGGATGTATCCGAGTCTCGTGATGAGTCTCGTTCTGTTGTCTCTGAATCAGCTAAGTCTAGAAAGTCTCGTCGCAGCGGCGATGATTTTGATCCACGTCGCGATGCTGAAGCCGCTCCTGACAACGCGGAAGGTGGCGAGGAGAAGAAGAGACGCCGCAAGCGTCGATCTAAGCATGAAAGTGACACCTTCTCTGTTGATGACGATGCTCGCTCCGCTATTACGGACATTGGAGATGACAAGTCTGAGCGTCGCAAGCATCGCCACCGTTCATCTCGAGAAGCCGAATTTGATGACAATGCCTCTATGATCTCTTCTCCAGCTCGGATTGACGAATCCCGCGAGAAGCGCCGAGGCAAGGACGAGAAAGAAAAGAGCGGTGGCTTTTTGAGAAGTATCTTTGGCTCACAAGTCTCGGCTCCAGCTGAGCGTGTTCGATCTGGCCATTCTCGCTCTTCCTCGTTGGATAAGCGCTCATCCCGCGAAGCCATATCTGAAGCTGGTGTGAATGATGAACGCCGTCGCCATAAGAAGCGTTCTTCCAAGCACCGCAGCTCCAGCAATGGGGATGAATTCGATCGTTACATGTCGGATAAGGAGAAGGGTACCCAGGATGACACGAATCTGGAGGAGTATAGGTCCAGTAGACAGCAGAAGGAAGAGCGGCGACGTCATCGGTACGAGGAAATCGTGGATTCAGGGAGGAAACGGGAATCTGAGAAGGTATAGCATCTGAACTTTTCTTTTTACTTACTCATGTTGTGATTTTTGGTTGTACACTTTATTGTCCCATATAGTTTCCCGTTTTTGCTGGTTGATCTGACTAGCTTTTGCACGAAAACCACAAAACCCGAACAAAAAAAGAATTGTACTAAGCTTTTATTGGTTTTATTCCATGTGCAGGACGGATATAGTGACAACTTCGACGATCAATCATTTTTAAGGAAGCACCCTGAAATCCTAGCCTCTGAGCGCGAAGATTATGGTGCTTCGTGGCTTCCAGCATCAGCAGGTAGCGCAGCTGTTTTCGCTGCGGCATCAGGACTCAATGAGATCCCGCAGCAGAGGCCCCGGAGTCAATCCACTTCTCCCCCAGCCACAGAGAAGACACTCGACCTGACCCCGAAGTCTCTGAGCCGCCCCGCTTCACCTGAAACAAGCCACGCCCAGGGGTCCCGATCCCCCAAGCAACGCCGACACTCCGTGGCCAAGTCCACCAACGAGTCGCCTACAGCCGTGCCTCTCCACTTCCGCCGGCCCCCAACTTCCCCGGGCCTCTCCCGGGCAGTCCCCGTTGAACAACCCGCCCCCATCGCCTCTCCAGGCTCGCCAAGCCAACAACGCAGCCGCCGGCCCGGGTCAGTCGAGTTCCGAAACTCGCGTGAAATCCGCCCTCTATGGCTCGTCGAGCGCCACAGTTTGACCAAGGGCGAGCCCGAGACCGAGGAGCCTTTGCCATCGCTCCCATCCAGCAAGACCTCCTCCCGTGCCCCATCAATGGACAACCTAAAGTCCCTCCATAATGACGACGGCCTTAAGAGCTGGGAGCATGTGGATCTAAGCCAATCAATTGTGGAGAACCAGCGGCCGACAGGTTTGACAATTTCAACTGACCAAGCGAACGAAAGCCATGATAGAGACCTTGATCTCCTCGGCTCGCAACAGGCCACGCCTACCGCTGAACATTTCCAGGATTCAGAGTCCAGGAAGGAAAAGCGCAGATACGAATTCCACTCACCTTCTGAGCTCCTGCAGGACCCCGCTGTTCTGGACGAGTTGCCCCCTTCGCCTACGCTGGACGCTTTGCCTTCTGCAGAGGGCTCCATGGTTGGGGTTGGCTCTAGGGAGCAAGAAACGCAACGTGCACTTGACGCTCTCGAGGGCGTGTCCCACTCTCAGCCCGAGCCGAAAACCCCGACCCAAGAACATAATTCGTTCTTCAGTGGCGTTGCGGACTTCGCCAAGGGCGCTGGCTTTGCCGGTATTGTCGATGCAGCTGCCATTGCCGCTGCCAGGGAGCATGATAAGTCTCGCTCCTTGCCTGCAGATGAACCCGCCAAGGCCCATGGCTTCAGCGATATTGTAGATGAAGCAGTTGCTGCTGGCACCTCCTCTCACGACCATGACAAGGCACTTGTCGATGAGGAGGCGCCCGGTGAGCCCGTTACTGCCATCGAAGATAATTACCCCGCTGGGCCCGAGCCTTTGCACCAAGAGATGGAGACCGCCAAGGAATTTGTTCCTGAATCGACTGAACAGCCTGTTGAGTCTTCTGATATTCAACCTCAGCCCGAGACAGAAGTCGACCCCGATGAGGGCGCGGCCACCCAGTCTTCTAAGAAGAAAAACAAGAAGAAGAAGGGCAAGAAGAACCAGGCCCAAGATGCCGATCTGGGAACCCCCAAAGAACCCCTCGCGCAGGAAGATTTGTCCAAGGAGTTGGCGCAGGACCCTGCTGTGGAGGTCCCCGAGGTTGGAAATCTTTCATCTGAGCCTGTTGAGGCATCCCGCGAGCTTGGACCTGAGATCGTGGTTGATGAGCCTGTGGTCGAAGCTGCTCCTGTTCAGTCCGCTCCGACCGAGAGCGCTCCTGTTGAGCCCGGGATCGCTGTTCTTGAGCAACCTGAGGCTGAGCCTATCGAGGCCTCTCGAGAGATTGAGATTGAGCCCTTGGCTGCAGCAACTCAAGAACCAGAAGCTGTTACCACTCTTGAACCTGAGCCTACAGAGGTGGTGCCCAGTGAAACCGAACAGGTCGAGGACACTGCATCATCGACTAAAAAGGCTAAGCGTGACAAGAAGAAGCAGAAGAAGAAATCTAAAAACGCACCTACTTCTGAAGAACCTGCAGATGATGCGGTCGCTGCTCAGCTCGAGGATGATATTTCTGCCTCCAAGGAGGTTGAGGGCCAGCAAGAAGACACAGCACCTGCGCCTGCCGAAGAAATTGTGGCTGCGCCCTTGCCCGAGGATATTGCTACTTCTACTGAACCCCTCGAGAGCATCTCTGACCAGGCTGCGATCCTATCTGCTGCCACCGATGTAGAGCAAGATCAAAGCCAGGAGCAATCCGGAGAGCTGGCTGAGCCCGTGGGACAGGTATCTAGTGAAGAATCCGTTCTACCTGTTTCCGAAGATCTCAGTCTACCCGTGGAGGAACAGCAGACCCCTGAGCCTACTTTCACTGATGCCAATGAAACCTCAATTACCGATGCCACTCAACCAGAAACGGAAGAAGTATCCCGCAGCCTGGAGGAGATTGAGAAGCCAACTGAAGATTCTACCCCAGAGGCACCCCTCAATGACACCACGCCTGAAATTACTGAAACACCCAAAGAAGACACTGAAGGGGAAGACAACTTCCAAGAGGCTGTCGAAGAACAAGTTTCGCAGCCCGCCGAAGAAAAGGAGCCTGCACCGGAGCCTCCCATGGAAGTGGCTGCAGATGCCCCCGCAGAGGGGTCGGAGACAAAGGCGGAGAAGCGGAAAAACAAGAAAAAGAAGAATCGCAAATCCGCTGCTGTGGAAGAGACTCAGATTTCCGCTGAAACGCCCGCTCCTGAGATTGAATCGCCAGAAATTCACGATCCCGAACCTGAGCAATCAGCTGTTGTCCAACCTGTGGATACCCAATCCCCTCCAATTGGCGGTGAAGCCTTACTTACTGATCTTGAATATCTTGAACAGCCTACCAAGGATGTCGAGCAACCCCTCCAAACCACCATTGAGGAGCCTGCAGCTACCCAAGAGCAGGAGCAAGTTCCATTGGAGATCGCTGTGCATGCAACACCCGTCGTGACCGAGCCAGTGGACCTCGCGGGGCTATCTGATGAACTGTCACAGCCAGCTGTCATCGATGTCCAGTCTAATGCTGAACTCCCGGATCCCGCTGAGGAGGCTTCTCGCGAAATCTCAGAGCCTTCTGCTGGTGAGACTCAACCCGAAGCTGAAGTTCAAGCTGAACCTCAACTTGAAGTTGAAGCCGAGCCTGAAGCCGCCTTGACTACTGCTCAGAAGAAGAAGGCCAAGAAGAACAAGAAGAAGGGCAAGCAGACCGAAAGTTCCATTCTTGAAGACGAGAAGCCTGCTGAGTTTATCTCGCCGGCACCTGAAATCGAGACTGCCGCTAAGGATATGGCCAAGGAAGCCCCTCTTGCCACTGAAGACGTATCGGTGGATGCGCCTGCACAAGAACGCGAGATGGAGCGGCCCGCCGAGGTCGAACAATCGCTCCAGCCCGAGCAAACTTCTGAGGCCGTGCCACCCCAGGAAGGCGCTTCTCCTGAGCCTCTGCCAGAACAAACAACAGAGGTAATAGAGTCGGAGGCACTCAAAGAAGAGCCAATCGCATCAGAGGAGCAACCCAAGGTCGGAGAATCTCCTGCCGAGCCAGAGGTCCCTATGACCGCCGCGGAGAGAAAGAAGGCCAAGAAGGCGAAAAAGAAGCAGCAAAAGGAGCAGGAAGAGAGCACTGGCTCTGTTGCTGAAGATATCAAGTCCGTTGACGCTGAGACTGCGCCCGAAGCCGAATCCGCTGAGCCAAGCAAGGATATTGCCTCTACCGCGGAAATTGATGATGTTGCTCCAGCGGACCTCTCCGTGCCGGTGTCTTCCGAGCCTGCTGAGGCAGCACAGGATGTTGTACCTACATCTACAACCGAGTTTGAGGCAGCTCCAGTTACCGAAAAGACTCTTCTGCCAACCGAGACTGAGACTCTGGAGCAAACGAAAGACATCGAGCCCCCAGTCAAAGATGCTGCCCCATCATCTGAGATTGTGGCCACCGAAGTTATCGCCGATGTCCTACCTGCATCGGAAGAAGCAACTGCTCCTGCCAATGCGCCCCGAGACCTTGACCAACGGGACGATATCGTTAAGGTGGACGAGCCAAAGAGCGAGGATGTGGCTCCAACGCCCACCGAGGAACCTTCGGTTGATGCTGCAGAGACCGATGCCTCCAAAACAAAAGAACAATCTCCCGAATCTGAGGTTCCAGTAACTGCCGCCGAGAGGAAGAAGGCCAAGAAAAACAAGAAGAAGCAGCAGAAGCAAGAGTCTGTGCAGCTTGATGAGCAGCCCAAGCCTGAGGCTGAGCCTACTTCTACCGAGGAAAAGAGCGTCGAACAGTCTGATGATATTTGGCTCAAGAGTGAGGCTACACCTACCGCAGAAGCTGTTGCGGGTGTTGATGAGTCCACAGAACCTGGGGCAGTCCGTGATCTTGAAGCCGAGACTAAGCCTACAGAGGAACAAGGCCAGGATGTGCCAATTGTCGACTCCGAAATTGCTCCCGAGGCACTCGCAAACGAGGCTATCCCTACCCCAGAGATTGCCGACCAAGCCATTGATGTTCAAGATGTGGACAAAGAAACTGCACAAGAGCCTATGGTTGAGGTTGCTTCCACAGAAGAATCCCAGGAAGAAAAGCTTGATACAACCGTCAGCGACGAGCCTGTCTTAGATAAGTCTCTCGATGACAAGCCCACAGAGCCTACACCAGACCCAACTGTGGAGGAAACTGAACCTACGGAATCCACAGCAAGTCCAGAGGTGGAGCAGGCTGAAGATGAACAGGCGGTAACTTCTTCCAAGTCGAAGAAGAAGAAGAATAAGAAGAAGCGCCAATCAGTTGCCCCTGAAGAGGAGCAGCCTTCACCTGCTGAGGAGGAGTCCAAGATCGTCCCCGCCGAGGAAGAGATTAAGCCTACACCTGCCGAAGAGGAGCCTGCACCTGTGCCTGCTGAGGTTGAATCTACAGAACTCGCGCCATCTCAAGAGCTCGAACAGCCTCCTCTCGAGAAAGATGCGGAGGCTCCCATTGTTACAGAAGAGACGCCCAAGGCTGAAGAGAGCACGCAGCCAGATACCCCTACCGATGTACCTGCCGCCGAGGCTGCTGGAGAGGCATCAATGACTCCCGCTCAGAAGCGGAAGGCCAAGAAAGACAAGAAAAAGCGCCAATCTGTTGCTGCTGAACAGGAACAGCCTACACCTGTCGAGGAAGAGGCTAAGCCTGCGCCCGCCGAGGAAGAGATTAAGCTTACACCCGCCGAAGAGGAGCCTGCACCTGTGCCTGCGGAGGTTGAATCCAACGAACCCGCACTATCCCAAGAGCCCGAACAGCCTGCTCCCGAGCAAAGCTCGGAGTCTCCTATTGTGACGGAAGGGGCGCCTAAGGCCGAAGAGACCACGCAGCAGGATGCCTCTGCTAATGCTGCCGCCATCGAGGCCGTCGAGGAGGCATCAATGACTCCTGCTCAGAAGCGGAAGGCCAAGAAAGACAAGAAAAAGCGCCAATCTGTTGCTGCTGAACAGGAGCAGCCTACACCTGCTGAGGAGTCCAAGGCTGTCCCCGCCGAGGCTAAGCTTACGCCCGCTGAGGAAGAGGTTAAGCTTGCACTCGCCGAAGAGGAACCTACACCTATGCCTACTGAGGGTGAATCTACTGAGTCCGCGCCATCGCAAGAGCTTGAACACGCTTCTGTCAATCAAGAAGCGGAAACTCCTATTGTGACGGGAGAGGAGCCGAAGGCCGAAGAACCTTCTCCGGAGGAGACTACACAGGTAGAGGTCCCTGCCGATACACCCGCCATCGAAGCAGCTCAAGAGGCCTCGATGACTCCTGCTCAGAAGCGAAAGGCCAAGAAAGATAAGAAAAAGCGCCAATCCGTTGTTGCCGAAGAGGAACAGCCTGTGCCTGTTGAGGAGTCCGAGCCCGAACCAGCCGATGAAGACGTCAGACCTGCACAAGCGGAAGAGGTGCCCATATCTGAATCCGTTCGTGAAGAGCCCACTGAGCCAATTTTGACCCAAGAAGCCGAACAGCCCACGGTCGGGGAAGATGCGGGGGCTCCCATTGTGACGGAAGAAGAAGAAGCGCCTAAGGCCGAAAACCCCTCTCTGGAAGAGAGCACGCAGATAGAGGCACCTGCTGATGCAGCCGCTATCGAGGTCGCCGAGGAGGCATCAATGACTCCTGCCCAGAAGCGGAAGGCTAAGAAAGATAAGAAAAAGCGTCAATCAGTCGTCGCTGAACAGGAGGAACCCGCGTCTGCTGAGGAGCCTAAGCCTGAATCCCCTCAGCAAGAGCCCGTTGAGCCTGAGTTGACCCAGGAAACTGAACAGCCGACTGTTGACAAAGATGCCCAGACTCCTATTATGGCGGAAGAAGAAGTGCCCAAGGCCGAAGAACAAGAACCCTCTCTCGAAGAGGCCACTCAACGGGATGCCCCTGCTGATGCAGCTGCTACCAAGACTGCGGAGGAGGAGGATGAGGCAATGACTCCCGCCCAGAAAAAGCAGGCCAAGAAAGACAAGAAAAAGCAACGCAAATCTGTTGCTTTTGACGACAATGCCACTCCGAGCGAAGAGCCCAAGGCAGAGCAGGATTTATCTGCGCCCGAAGATAAGGTTGAATCCCAGGATGTTCCGGCTGACTTGGTTATCGCCGACGAATCAGCCAAAGAATTACCAGTGACGGAAGAAGTTGCCGAGCCTTCTACTGAAGGGGAAGTCTCGGAAAAGACTGAAGAGCCCGCTTCCTCTGAACAAAGCAAGGAGATCGCCGAGGATAAGCCGACCTCAGCTGCTGCGCCCGATGCCCTCATCCCTGCTGAAGTCGAGGATCCAAAGTCCACGGCGGAGTTGCCAGAGCAACCGGAACGAGATGCTCAGACTCCCTCAGAGCCTCAGTCGCCGAGTGCACAAGAGCCTGAAGTTCCCTTGACTGCGGCGCAGAAGAAGAAGGCGAAGAAGAACAAGAAGAAGGGCAAATCCGTGGACTTGGCCGAAAACGCCCCTGCTGCTACAGACGCAGCGCAGGAATCTGAGCCCATTGTTCAAACTTCCCCCGATACTCCTGCTGAGAAGCTGCAGTTGCAAGATACTCTAGCTTCTGAGCCAGCACAACCCGCAGACGGCCTTGAGCAAGAAAATACAACCGAACCTGAGGCTCCCAAGCCCGAGGAACTCGAGACAACAGAAACCGTATCTGACGATGTGCCAAAAGAGGAAATTCCTGACGCCAAGGATACCGACGAAGCTCCAGCCACCGAGGCGATTGTCGATGCTGAACCAACTCCCTCCCAGGAAGCAGAGGCCATTGCCTCTTCTCCTGCCGAGACGACTGAAGAAGCTGGTATGTCAGCCAAGGAGCGACGCAAAGCTGCCAAGAAAGCGAAGAAACGCCAGTCCAAGAATGTCGACGCCGACAACGACGCCGCAACATCCGAGCCTGCTACACCCATTGAAGCGGCCAAGACCGTCGAAAAGGTCCTCACCTCTACGGACACAGACGCCCCTGGACTCTCAGCCATACCGGCGTCCTCGCCTGCGGAACATGACGGTAAAGAACATCAGTCCCACGACATAGAAACTTACGACGCCACGGCGCAAAATACGGCCTCGACTGATAAATACATGTCTTCGCAGGTAGAGCAGACGCCGATAGAGAGTCCTTTTTTAGATTATCCTCCCCAGCCCGTGCTTAAGCGTTCAGTTGATTCCGGCGAGTTGGTGGAGGTAAATGCTGTGCAGGAGGGTGATGTTGCCCCTACTGCACAGAAGCGAGAGGGGGAGTTGGCTGAGCCTACACCTCTTGAGGAAATGAAAACAGTTGATGATGGTGAGATTGTTGAGGAGAAGCCGTCTGTGCCGGAAGCAGACGATTTCTCCGTGGAGAAGGATGTTGAGAATAAAGATGTTGAAGAGACGCCTGTGGATGTTCCAATTGATACTGTTCCTGAGGCACAGACACAAGGATCTCTCGTGGAGGAGGAGGCTTCTGAGACAGCTGTGTCGAAGAAGCAGAAGAAGAAAAACAAGAAGAAAAACAAAAAACAAGAGGAGGAAGCCGCAGCACCTGAGCCTGAAACCTCTACTGCGGAGGACAAGGAGCAGCCTGAAGCTGCGCCTTTGGTTGTGGCCGAGCCCAAGCCGGAGGTGAAAGAAATCACCGAGCCTGAGCCCATTGCTGAGGCCGAACCATTGCCAGTTCTAGAGAAGCAATCGGCCGATCACCCACAGGACGTTGAAGAGACTACCGCTGTGCAGACAACTGAAGATATTGATGACATTAAGGATATCAGTGTCCCAGAAGCAGAGGCTGTACTGGTGCCAATTCCAGAAAAGCAACCGGCGGAACTCCCACAGGGCATTGAAGAGACTGTCGCTGTTGAAACAACCGAGGATATTGATGACACTAAGGAGATCAGGGTCCCAGAAGCCGAGCCCGTTGCTCTTCCTACCGAAGAGACCACACAGTCAGAGGCCCTTACCGGTGCAGCCGCCACCGAGGCTGCCGAAGAGGCATCATTGACTCCTGCTCAGAAGCGGAAAGCCAAGAAAGACAAGAAGAAGCAACGCCAATCAATTCTTCCTCAAGAACCCGAAGCTGAGCTCCAGCCTGAGGAACAGACAGCACCCGAGGCGGCTGAAACTTCTGTCCAAGAGGTTGAGATTGTAACGGAGTCAGCGCCTGCCGAAATTATCACTCAAGATGAGGCTGTTACTAGTGCAGACGAGCCTACAGTGCAGCCTATTGATGTCACCGAGGAGGCCGCTAAGGATCTTGTGACTCCTTCTGAAGACACTGAACAGCATGTTCCGAGTCAAGAAATCAAAAGCGGAGAGCGTTCTCTTGAACTTCCTTCCGCTGAATCGAATGTCGAGGAAGGAGACAAGCCAGCCGAGCAAGCTGCGGAAACCCCGGCCGAGGTTCTAGGTGACGAGCAACCTAGCGAACAAGCGCCGCCTGAAGCCGCTTTTGAGTCAGAAGGGGAATCGGCGACTGTTCCCAAGAAGATGAGCAAGAAGGAGAAGAAGAAGAAGGCGGCAGCGGCAGCCGCCGCCGCCGCCGCCACTGCTGCTGCCCTTCTCGAGGAAGAAAAACTCGTCGAGTCACAACCTGAACCCGAGCAGCACTCGACTATCACTCCTCAAGCTCTAGAGGAAGTGGTAGAGCAACCTATCGTTCCAGAGCCGCAGCCTTCAGAGACTGAGGACAAACCTCAACCTGAGGAAGAAAAGAGTCTAGACGAAACAACAGAACTGACAACTTCTGAGCTGAAAGAGGACGTCCTGGAGCAGCCTGTTGAGGTTCTCGATTCTACAGAGCGCCTCGAATCCGAGGTCAAGCCGGAGGAGTCTACAAAAGAGCTAGCCGAGGAGCCAGCTGCGGTCGATACTATTACTCGGAAAGCGTCAAAGAAAGACAAGAAAAAGGCCAAGAAGCAAGCCAAACAAGAAGTAATTGAGCCAGCTTCTCTGGTCGAGGAGCATGTTCCTACCACCGAGCTTGCCATTGCAGACGCTCCTGAACCGAAGCCGACTTCTGAGGAAATGCCAACGGAGATTGTTCCCGAGCCTGAGTCCATTGCCCGGGAAGAAATCCAGGAGGCTCTCAATTCTGAGCTCGAAAGCATTGAAGCCCCCGCTCTTGAGGGGTTTGGCATCGTATCGGAAGACAAGCAACCTTCAGAAAGCGAGAAAAATGAAGCAGTCGTCTCTCTGGACACACTCCATACGCCCTCACCTGCGGAACCCACTGACCAAGCTACCAACTGTGAGCCCCTTGTCCGCCAGGATCCTGCTGAGAAGAACGTACAGGAAGATGAAGCTCAGGTTGGGGCCGACGCACGGGACCTTGGGAAAACAGCTGACCTCGAGCCCGTCGAGGGCTCTGTTGAAGATGGACCCGGAGAGCCTAAAGTGATGCCGGCTCTGTCCAAAAAGATGTCAAAGAAGGACAAGCGCAAGGCCAAGAAGAATGGCGGCATCACTGAAGAAGTCTCGACTCAACAACAAGAAGAGCTTCAGGCTGACGTGACTGAGTTGCCCACGGAATCGGAGATCCGGCCGACAGAGCCTGCCATGGAGCAGGAAATTCCCGAAACTGAAGATGCTGCTGAACCTCAACCTACATTGGAGCGAGAGCTGCCAGTGGAATCTCCCCTTGCGATCGAGGATCAGCCTATATTTGCCCCAGATGTTCAGGTTGAGCCTACGCACCCCGATGAAGAGCCCGTTAGCGAGGAGATCTCTCTTTCACGCAAGGCCTCGAAGAAAAAGGCCAAGAAGGCCCAGAAGGCTAACAAATCCTTGGATACTGAGCGGGCTGAAAACGCCATCGATGCGGATCAGCATGCTAACATTGTGCCGTTCGAAGAGGACCAATCCAAGGCACAGGATCCAGGAGTGCCAGACGAGAAGTCGTCCCATGACGAAGAAGACTGGCCGGCAATTGACTGGCAGGCCAAGTTTGAAGAGTCCCAGCGATTGAAGGAAGTGAACTCTGACCCTGAGCCGGAAATTCCACCTCCCGAGCCGGACATTATTAGCGAATTTATTGATTCTTCATTTCCCGAAGTTTCGCAAAATGTAAACGAAGCTGCGGGGGAAGATACTTGGGCCTTATCGAGGAAAAAAGACACGAAGAAGCCCAAGAAGAACAAGAAGAAGTCACAGCAAGCTCCTCCGGAAGTTGAGGAGCCTTCACTGGAACCCTTGAACGACAAAGAGATCGAGCCGCCTGCTCGAACAACCACCCCCGGTGGATCTAAGATTGCCAACTTGTTTCCCGGCCTCGAGCGTGCTGGATTCCGGCGATCAGCTTTGGACCAGCAAACACCGTCGCTAAAAGATAGTGCTGAGGAAGAGACAACAGCGGACTTGGAAGCGAATCGCGATATCGCGATGCCTGTCTCGGAAGCACCCCTAGCGGCCACTGAAACCAAAGAAATTGCCGATGATTTCACCTCGGGGCTGCCTAGCAGCCTCGAAAGACAAATTGAGTCTACAATCTCGGAGCTGAAAGCTCACTCCGAAACCCCGACTGCTAGAGAGGATGACTCAATCAGAGAGCCAGAACTTCCGATGTATGGCGAAAAGCCCTTGGGTGCGCCCTTGTCATTGTCAACGGAGCCCTCCAATGAGCGAACTCGTGCCGAGGAACCTTCTTCTCCTACGCGCCTTCCACCCCCAGAGGAAGCCGGAGCAGAACTGTGTCAACTACGCCGATCACCATCAATCCATGGACGACACCAGCATACACCCAGAACATGGAGTTTGGACGAACCATCTCTCCCGGCTCTTGCCCCATCCCCTCCCCGGTCGCTCTTCGGACCGACTGACGAATATGTGCGACCCCGGACTCCGCTGGATACAATTGCGGAACAAGAACCACATGGCCAGGGAACCATGGCTCGTCGCGGGACGCCCCGCCTGGAGATGAAGCCCGAGCATGTCTTACCTCGACCTCAGACACCCGTCCGGAAATTTACAGACAATGCCTTTGACCGAGAAGCCTGGCCTACAGAAAACGAAAAGGGCGAGGATTTCAAAGAAATTCAAAAAACGCCTGAGCAAGGGATTCTGAAACCCAGCACCAGCAGTGGAAAATTACGTCGTACAAATCGCAGTATTAGTGGTGATCTGCGGGCGGCTAGTCGAGCGCTAGATCCCCAGCCTTCGAATCTCGATCTTGATCAGCTCCCGTCTTCCTCCTCTTATGACCCCGTCACCGACAAGGGCAAGCGTCCGCTGCGAAACATGTCGGATGTTTATGTAAGTTGTTAATTTATTCTTTCTATTTGCAATTGTTTATGGTTGTTTTGTTTTTGTTTACTAACTTTCCGTAGGAGGGATGGGGTGAAACGCCCAACTCCCCACGGTCGCCCAGCCGACCGCCTAGTGTCCGCCGCCGTCGCAGCATGCAACACTTGCAAGACATCGAAACCCGCCTCGACCAGCTCATCTCTGAAAACCGTCTACTGATTGCCGCCCGCGATGAAGCCGAACATAAGCTTCGGAATACCAGCGTCGCTCGTCGAAAAAGCGACCGTGCCCTCAACACCCGCGACGGCGATCTGCGCGATCGGGAATCGGAGGTGGAACAATTGAAGAACTCGGTGGAATGGCTGCAGAAGGAGATGGCTCGTATGACCCAGGAGAATGAGGGGCTGACTGCATCCAACTCTGCTCTCGCCGCCGCCCACGCAGCCGAGGTCAACACCGTACGCGAGTCGTCCACACGCGAACTTGTCGAGCTGCAGTCGCAACACAGTCAACTCTCGTCCCAGATGGAAGATCGAGTTCGACAAGAGATTGAATCGGCTCTTGCACAGAAAGACATTGAATTGCGCCGTCTGCGTACCGAACTTGAGGAGGCTCGCGACAAGGTCAAGGAGCTCCAACAACAGATCGCAGCCTCGGTACATGACAATGCCCTTGTATTCCGCGATGAAGAGTACTTCGAGGCTGCCTGCCAGAAGCTGTGTGGCCATGTCCAATCCTGGGTCGTGCGCTTCTCCAAGCACAGTGATAAGCGTCGCTGCCGCCCACTGAGTGAGTTGCAGGACGAAAAGATCGCTGACCGTTTCGATAATGCCCTCCTCGACGGCTCCGATCCCGATGCCTATCTATCTGATCGTGTCCGCCGCCGTGATGTATTCATGTCGGTGGTCATGACGATGGTTTGGGAATACATCTTCACACGTTATCTCTTCGGCATGGACCGGGAGCAACGTCAAAAGCTCAAGTCTCTTGAGAAACAATTGGGCGAGGTTGGCCCAACCCGTGCTGTGCATCGCTGGCGAGCCACCACTCTCACACTGCTGTCCCGGCGACCAGCTTTTGCTGCGCAACGTGAGAGTGATACGGAGGCTGTTACGCTGGAGATCTTCCAAACCCTATCGCGGATCCTCCCTCCTCCATCTCATGTTGAATCCCAGCTCCTGGACAACCTCCGCAAGATCATGCGGGTAGCAGTCAGCCTGTCCTTGGAGATGCGTACCCAGCTGGCTGAATTCATCATGCTGCCACCTCTGCAGCCTGAATACGATACCAATGGCGACCTTGCACGCCAGGTGTACTTCAACGCAGCTCTGATGAATGAGCGCAGTGGTCTGACAAACGACAATGGCGAGCTCGAAGCTCAACAATCTATTGTGCGCATTGTGCTCTTTCCTCTCGTTGTCAAAAAGGGCAATGATGTGGGCGAGGGTGAGGACGAGGATGTCGTCTGCCCCGCCCAGGTCCTCATTGCCCGCCCCAGCAAAGACAAGAAAGTATCAAGGATGATGAGCGGTGATCGCATGTCCATTGATGCTACCAGATCTGTCCACAGCATTGCTCAAAGTATTGCTCACAGTGTAGCACCTTCATCTATGATGGACATGAGCAATGTGATCTGAGGCGTCACACTCTGATCACGATTGCTCCCATCTTCAACATGCACGCTTGCCGCATCCTTACTCTTATTGTCTAACCTTTTGTGTGTGTTTTTTTCCTTCTCTCGCCGGTTGGTGATATGGCGTCTGGGTCATTTAACATAATGGTCATTGCATGGCCGATGACCGTGAATATGTGGAGTTATTTACTTTACTTCTTTTTTTTTTTTTCATTTTCCTGTTTCTATTTGATTCTTCTCATGTGTTCTAAGACAATGTGTTAGCCCGATGTGTATTTACCATGGCTTTGATGTCTTATGAGTGATGACCTGTACTTCTGGTATGGCAGTGTAATAATTTATTTCTACTTTATTCTTTCTACTTGACTTGTCTCTTGCAATTTATCCCTTGGTCCTTGGATAATGTATGATTGCTCTTTGATAAGAACCACAGTTCGCTCACATGCCTTTCGCATGAGCGCCTTTCCTTGTCGTTCTTCCTCTTCCTCTCTTCTTTTTTTTTCCCCTCCTCTCTTTCGCATCATCCCCTTCCTACGATCTGAATCAAGCCAGGAACAATGCGTGTTGCGTTGCTATTTCCTAAGGCAACCACTTTAACTTGGCTGGGAGAATTTCGCAAGCCCGTTCTAGCAATGGGGCTCTCATATCCAGCTTTGCTAGCTCTTTAAACTGATGTATCTGTCTTATATCAAATAGCTAGTGCTTTCCGGAACAGCACCTCAGATCGTCCAAAGTTTGCACTATCAAGTATTTTCTACACATTTCTACACATATTATAATTAAAACGGAAAAGAGAAGAGAGGAAATCAAGTAGGTAGATCTGATAGCGCTGGGCTCATTTGTCCCCTTGAGAGAAAAAAAAAGTTCATCTTTCGAGTCAGAAGGCTACTTCTTCAAGGCAATCTTTTTGAACTCGGCAGTGGTGTCCTTGATGGCCACTTCAACAGGAAGTCGCTCCATTGAACTGGCCCCGTAGAAGCCATGCACACCCTGCACCCTATCCAACACGAATTTCGCATCTTCCGGAGCTGCAATAGGCCCGCCATGACACAGCACAATGATATCCTTATTGATTCGCACCGCTGCATCCCGAATTGCCTGAATCTCCTCAACACATTTTTCCAACGTCTTCCCAGTCTTCGCCCCAATCAGTCCGGAAGTAGTCAAACCCATATGTGCAACCAGGATATCCGCCCCAGCCTTCGTCATAGCCTCAGCATCCTCGATATTGAAAACATAAGGCGTGGTCAACATATCCAATGCAGCCGCCTGCCGCACCATCTCTACCTCTTTCTCATACCCCATCCCCGTCTCCTCCAAGTTAGCACGGAAGTTGCCATCGATCAGTCCCACCGTAGGGAAATTCTGCACTCCGCCAAATCCCAAATCCCGCAGCTGCTTCAGGAACCGCGGGATGTGCTTGAATGGGTCCGTACCGCAGACACCCGCGATCACGGGGATATTCTGAACGATAGGGATGACTTCGGCGGCCATTTCGACCACTACTTCGTTGGCGTTGCTGTACGGCATCAGCCCCGCGAGACTTCCGCACCCCGCCATGCGGAACCGACCGCTGTTGTATATGATGACTAGGTCTGCGCCACCGGCCTCGACCGATTTTGCGGTTAGACCGATGCCTAATGGTAGATTATTAGTTATTTGATCGGTGGGAAGCTAAGAGGGACAGGTCAGACCGAGTACGTACCGGCTCCGGCTCCAACGATGGGTTTCCCGGCTTCGATTTGACGGCGTAGGTTGGCGAGAATCTCGCTGCGAGAGGTGGGTGGTGCCATAGTCGAAGAAATGGAGATTTGTAGTTGGATTAATTGTATATGCAGTCAAAATGGGAGAAATATTCTTCTCTCGTCTCACTTAGATTTATCAATTATATGATTTCATCGTACTTCTCGCAAGGCGGGGCGGATTTATGGAGAGCGGACAGCGGAGATACGCTTCAAACGCGGAAACCGCGGATATAAAGAACAGGAACCAGATCACTCTCTTTCGTTTCTGACAGGAAATCATCGAAGCAGGAATTGCTGGATCTAACGGTCCTAGGTTCTCAAATCCTCCTGGATTAAGGAGTGCCAATACATTGAATACCGGAGGATGAATACTTGAACATTCTATGTACTATCTCTCCTATAAACCCATGTATCTACATATGGAGGACTGCATGTTCTCAGGTGAAGACTGTCATCTTGGATTGCCACTTGGGCAGCCAACAAGTAAATGTGTTATACCATGTCATAGTCTTGATTTCATGCAATTCCGAACCCGCTGATCCAAATATGCAATTTATCCTAATCGGTGCGGATCAAGATGTAGTTCCCATTGAATTCATAATCAGATCCCACTGGTCCCAATCCATGTCCACCGGGTTGATCCATTGCTGCGGCTCAATCTGCCGAACCAGGCTGGGAAAACCGACACTCTCCAAGGATGATATATGGCCATTACTAAGATCCACTGGCTGGCTGAGGGGATTCATCTGGCTATTTGACTTGGCGCCTTGGAACTACATGCCGACTTCCACAAACTGCCCCAGTTCACGCCCTTCTACTGGTATATCCGTGGCCGGGGTGCTTTTCACGCTTTCCATGCCGCATTCGTCTTGGTACTTACCCTTTCTATGGAGCCCCAAGAACCCTGTACACCGAATGTGGCGCGGCTGCTGGATGAGTGCCATTCTCGGCTCGAGGCGTCAAAGGCGCAAAGTCAGCTGTGCACCCGGACAGCAACGATTCTCGGCCAGATGCTGTAAGTTGCCTACTACGCATAGCATGTGTTTTCTTAACTGTGAAGAATGAGAACCAGATGATGGGCGAAACTCAGAAGATTGGTATGAACAATCGATGAGCTGCCCCCAAGTATTGAGGCATAACTCTGCTCCAATGTGTCTAACTCGACTCGGATGGCCGCGTCCAGACGTTAGAGGGTTGTTGGATTGTCCGGCTGTGAAGCTAGACCGGGGTCACAGATCTCCGAGGATATCTGAAAGAGGCGTGATTTTCGAATCGGATACCGGCTTCGACAATATCCAAGGAAAATGTGGCCGGATCAACGTGACAACCGATCGAGAGCGCTAGGTGATAAACCAGCCCCAGAAGAGTCCATGTTTGGCCATGGCTGTGGTGTATCCCATAGATAAAAGTTAGTAGTGCCTGCAGTGTAGAGATGTTATGTCACCAGAGATAGCGATCTGCTTCGAGGCATTTCATCGCAGCGGTGTAATACCGCTCCGAAAGTTCTGTCACTCGATCCCAAGGGGTAGGTTTGCGGCTGAGAGTCCCAAGCAAAGGGCTGTCATTTTCCAGTGTGAGGACAGCTGTGCCTAGGATAGTAAAGAGGAGAGCAAGCCATGCTAGCGAAGCCTGATTTGGATCTTTTGAAAATTGATCATACCGTTCGTGAAACGTAGGGCTATGTAAGATAGGAAAAAGCTATTTTTTGTTTCATTTCAGTCACACTTTTATGATACCGGGAGTTAGAAAACCTACGGGCGCAATTGACTTGAGATATAGATCCTTTAACTGGTTGCAGTACTCCGTCGGGGGGAGTTTTGCTAAAAGATTATGTCTGTTTTCAACATCATGCTCACCGAAAGGAAATGGTCCGTTGGGCGTGTCAATCATGGCACTCTCCTGGCTTGAAAAGGGACCCTCCTGAGAGACTCGATGGAATATACGCCGGCCAGAGGTAACAGGGAGGGAGCGCACGTGTCCTGAGGCGGATGGAATGAGGGTGCTCGTTGCAAACGCAGTCGCTGGCTCTGATCTCTGCCTCCCTTCTACCTCGGGGTCCAATTGGGGGACATGTAACGGAGGTGGCACTGCGTCTTGTGTTTCTTCTTGCTCTGTTTCTTCTTGCTCTGTTTCTTCTTGCTCTATTTCATTTTGCTTGTTCTTTGCATGCAACAACTGCTCCAACTTCTCTATGCGAGCTACCAGATCTGCATGGGGCTCTCCGGCGACACCCTGATATCGTGGTTGGACCGGGGTATCAGAGGACGACGAGCGATTTTCCAATGACCGAGCCTATAGCCAAAACTGCTACGGCTGCGGCTGTGAGGGTATCCGGGGGTTTCCCCCAGTACTATAGACACACTGCTCTAGAGGAACACGACGTCGTATGCAAGTGCCGCAAGCGGGGCCGTCCCGAGGACATCGGATCTTGCGAGCTCGGCACGGCTCACAGGAGATCGGAAGACGCTGACGTGTATGGTGAGCGGACATAGGGATATCCGCGCCAATGGATAGCTAAGAATGTACAATATGATGCTTGGGGATTCGGATGCACGAGATTGCAGCCGAGGGCGGAGATATTCAAAGAAGGCGGGGATAATTTCCAAACTTGTTTTTCGGCCACCATGACAACATCACAAATGATCCTAATGCGAGGCACCAGCTTATATGTCACAGCTTAGTAAAATCAACACATGGCTAGCTTATTCTGTAAATACTTTATAGTCTTCCAGCTACCATGCCACATATCATTCTTCTGGGGACCCTCGACACCAAGCTTGCAGAGACTCTACCTCTACAACCAGCTGCAGCAGAATGCCACCCGCTTCGCGACGCCCTTAGAGATTACCTTGATTGACTGCGGTCGTCAAGCCATTACGCACGATGCTATCACCATAGGCCACATTGACCTACTATCCAAATATGCATCCGGCGACAGCACTGGGATATTGACTCAGTCCCGGGAACAAGTGATTGAACTCCTCATCAGCTGCGTTAGTAAGTGTATCACCGAATTACTGCAAACGACAGAGATCCACGGAATCATCGGCGCGGGTGGTAGTGGAGGAACCAATCTCATCACCGCCGTAATGAGAAAGGCTGCACCTCTTGGCCTGCCCAAACTAGTCGTCAGCACAGTCGCATCCGGGGATACTGGGCCAGTAATAGGCGAATGCGATATCACTTTGATGTACTCGGTCGTGGACATCGCGGGCACCAATCGGCTCCTCCGCGAAGTGCTGGGGAATGCAGCCGGCGCCATGGTCGGCATGGCATCGACATATCAACATAGGCTGGCTGAGCGCCGGACCCAGACTGCACAAGACAAGCAGCGAGAAGAGAAGAAGACACGAGTCGGTATTACTATGTTCGGTGTGACCACCCCATGTGTGGATCGGACAACTATTCTGTAGAGGTCTATGTGTTTCATGCTACTGGTCATGGGGGGAAGGCTCTGGAACGATTGGTAGAGGAAGGCCGTCTAGACGCCATCTTGGACATTACAACGATCGAGATCTGCGATCTCATTGCCGGCGGGACTATGAGTTGCGAAAACAGCTGACTGGAGAGGACACTCAAGCGCGGAATACCCAATATCATTTCCGTTGGAGTTACGGACATGGTCAACTTTGGTCCGGCCGACACGGTGCCATTTCAATACCGTGACCGCAAGCTGCTGGCCCATAATCCGAATATAACCCTGATGCGAACTTCTGCGGCAGAATGTCGGGAAGTCGGGGAGTTCATTCTCGACAAACTAGACCGGTTTACGCAGCACCCAAGTATGGTTGAGGTGTGGCTTCCTCGGGGAGGAGTGAGTAGCGTCGGGACAGTAGGGTCAGCATTTGCAGATACTGACTCCGATGCCGCCCTTGCTGATACTCTACATTCTGGGCTAAAGGGCAGCGGAATCCGAGTGGTATCGGATGAGCGAGATATAAATGATGATGGATTTACACTTGACATTGCGGATCGGCTTATGGATCTCGTGGCGCAGCACTCTTGCAGTGCCGCAGCAAGCTAGACAGGTCATCTGCTGGCTATCAGAAAAGCAGTGTATGTAGTAGGTAGGAATTTATAATAGATCATTATTCCCTATAACTTTCGCCCGCGAAAGCCTGAGAGGCTAGTACGTTTAAATTATGTATAGGACCTCTAGGGCTGTTTTCCGGCTTATGCCACGGTCCAAGGTTACGGGGAGTATCAAGGAGCTTATCTTTGTTTTCCTTTGCCTTTGCTCTTCTTACTCTTTACTACAAGTGATGCCTAATAGGTTGCATTGGCCAATCCCTGAATTTTATAGTTGTGCTGACCTCATCCATTCCGTTTTAGGAAAAGTCTCTAGGCTGTCCCATGGAATCCAAACAGTCAGAATCTCATCTGCAGCCTCAGACGAACCTCGGGATTTCTCTTTGTATTGGATTCTCCTTTTCCTGTTGCACACTATACAAGTACAACTTGTTCTTCTATTCAATGTTTTATATCTCAATTTAAGATTTTCTTGCCTTGTTTTATCACGGGAATGTTCCACCTCTGGTTTTGCCACCCTCGTCATCTCCCCAACCTAAGCTGCAGCTCCTTTCAGTGCTGTCAACCATGCCGATGTCGGTTCATCCGTGATCATCAGCGCTAGTCAGATCATATGGAAAGCTGGTATCCTGCATGCTGCGAGCCTTTGCCCTGTGATCCAGAACCCTGTTTGCGTTGGCCAGGCTACATTGGTTGATGAGCTGCTGAAAAATTGTCCTCCACTTCAGTACAGTTGCTCTGTACTGTAGACACCCAACCTCTATCGTGACCCAATTATCGAAGCTGTTACAATGGATCCGCCCATGATCCCGACACCTGGCACAGCGGCCTCCCGACCGCCTCGTTCCTCGCATTTGTCTAGCCCAAGCAAACGTCCACAGCGCACCGATTACCCACCCTCTGCTGATAACAACGCTAGCTATGGCCCAATGAGCGGCGGTCGGGCCCCAGGGACTGGTGCAGTACCCGTCTCCGAGGCTACGCCGGCCAACAAGACCCGCTTCGAACCCCCCGCCGATAATGCTGCCGGTAAACCCTCCAAGTCCTCTAAACGCAAAAAGAACCGCAATCGCAAACGTCGCAACCGACACCAGTCTTTTATTCCACCTAGTCAGGAGGAATCTCATGATATTCTTGGGGAAACTTCGGATGCTGGAGGTATCAGAGATCTAATGGAGGCCGATCGGCCAACTTCGAGGGACAAGTCGTTCTTCAAATTAGGGCGCAATCAGAGTAACACAAGCTTGGAGAGTGATGCACTGTTAGATCATCGGTAAGATCTCGTGATATTGAGTTATCTCGAAGCTTGAGATGGATACTGATTTTTCTCGCCGAGCAGGGACCAACCTTTGATGCGACCTCGTCGTGACAGTCGCCTTGCATCATCATTCCGCCCGAGCTCCCTAACATCCAATGTCTTCCGATCGAACGATGGGCAACCTCGCAGCACCCCTAGGGGAGGACGGAGCCAACAACATCACGTGGGTGATAGTGACGAAGAGGATGCCAATGATCGGACACCATTGATGCGGCCAGGTTCAGGGCACACGCCTGGCCATAATCGTTATGGAACAGACAATCGCCCGAGTTTATTCTCATCGCGTGCTCGACAGTCCTCTACGCAAACTATATCCTCGGGATGTTCACCAAAGGACGATCGCAGCCCGCTCTATTCTCCCACTGTAGAGCGAGACTACGATATAAACAACCCACCGTCAATTCCTGGGTCTCCAAAGCTGGGCCCAGAGATGAATTACGACGATGCTGTGGTAACAGGAGCTGACTGGGACTTCTCAATGGCTCGGTCAATGGAGAATCACAGGGATTCTTTGAATGCCCTCAACGACGCGCTGATCGACATAGACGGAAATGGACTGCATCCACATTCCGCACCATCCTCTTCACCTGGGTCGCCCCTGCTCTCTCCACAACAAGAAATGCGGCGACGCCGAACGGTGGCAGTACCAGCACAGGAAGATGTGTGCTTTCCTACCGAAACAATATCCGAATTGGGAGATGAGGGACCAAGGCAAATACGAGATGAAGCAGGTGAGCGTCGACGGCGTAGACATCGGCGATGGCCCGATCTCTCTGCTCTGGAAGAATGGAGCCGCGAGGAGAAAGAGGATCGCAATGGAGATCTTCGAGTCAAAAGGATCAGCGAGCCTATGCTCATTGAAGGCCGATTGCGCCCTCGGTATACAGGTTGGCGACGCGAAGAGGATGAGGCGCCTTATCGGTTCACATATTTCAACGAGGAATTCCCGAGCACCATTCATGCCCAAACCATTTCCGAGTTGGTACAACCAGGTGGTAGCTTCCGCGATTTGTTTATTCCAGATCCACCCGAATTGGAGGACTCCTCGGAAGATGAGGACGAGGAAGAGGAATCTTTCATGGAGAATCCAGCTTTCAATAATTCAACCCATCCCGCCAGCAAGTCAACATATCAGACGGACAACCAAAGTCAAGGGCAAGGCCATCAAACAAACGTCAGTCCTTACATGACAGCTCAGACCGTTGTTCCAAATGGGAAAACTACAAGTGATCTTATGAGCGGCCATGCTCCTCCTGTCAGAGGGGCCGAGCGTTTATCTGTTATCAGTGAAGGACGACCAGATTCCCACCGAGAGCCTTCGCCCGCACCTTCAAACACCCCATTTAACAACACCCTTAACCCGAAACCTAAACGGTATGGTCCGCGGCCGACTTTCTGGCTAGATGTTCTCTCTCCAACAGATGCAGAGATGCGTACGATTGCCAAAGCGTTCGGAATTCACGCGCTGACGGCAGAGGACATCATGATGCAAGAAGCTCGAGAGAAAGTCGAGTTGTTCCGCAGCTACTATTTCGTCAACTACCGCACTTTTGAGCAGGATAAGAACAGCGAGGACTATCTCGAGCCAGTGAATATGTATGTGGTAGTTTTCCGCGAAGGCGTGATATCCTTCCATTTCTCGCAAACACCTCATCCAGCCAATGTACGGCGGCGTATCCGCCAACTGATGGATTACCTGATCCTCAGCTCAGACTGGATTTCATACGCACTGATTGATGACATTACCGACGTCTTCGGCCCGCTGATCCAAGCGATTGAGGACGAGGTCGATGAGATCGACGAGATGATCATGCAAATGCACTCTTCCAGCAAGGAGGTGTCGTCCAATGACAGTGTGCTTCCTTCATTTGCACCAGGAGAGATGCTCCGGCGAGTGGGAGAATGCCGCAAGAAGGTCATGGGACTGTATCGACTTCTCAGCAATAAGGCTGATGTAGTCAAGGGGTTTGCCAAGCGTTGCAATGAGCAGTGGGAGGTTGCACCCAAGTCAGAGATTGGTCTGTACTTAGGTGACATTCAGGATCACATTATGACGATGACGGGTAACCTAACGCACTACGAAACGTATGGTTATTACCTATGTTCCAGGTTACTCTTACCAAAGGTTGCAGAAATCGCTGACTGTGTCTTCCAGAATTCTTTCCCGCGCACACTCCAACTATCTCGCGCAGATCAACATCCTCATGAATGAGCGCCAGGAACATACTGCCGATGTGCTGGGTAAGCTGACTGTTCTTGGTACGATTGTCCTACCGATGAACATCATCTGCGGTATGTGGGGGATGAACGTTAAGGTACCGGGTCAGGAAATCGATAGCCTGACATGGTTCTGGTGCAGTATGTCTTCCTTTTTTTCCTTTCCAGGTTATATGCTAATACTTCATAGTTACTGCCGGACTATGCGTATTTGCATTTGTATCTGTTTGGACCGCCAAAAGAGTCTACAAAATTGTATAGTAGTACAATGTCCACTTTTCAGTCAATTGGATCGATACCCAGGGTTTTAGTTTGGTTGTTTGCTCGGTTAATTTAGGAACCTGGCGGGGTTCTTCATTTTGGTTTCTGGCTCTGGCTCTGAATACTCGGCGTGTTGGTCTTTGGATTTGATGATATACGGATGATATACGAAGCATGTGTTCCTCTTTGTTGCATTTTGGAGATTATCTTGGTATACATATTGGCTACAGATTAGATAGAACTGTATATTAATTAATCCCTGTTTTCTTCTAGGATATTTACTAGTCTTACACTCTAGTGATCTGTACCTACTGGGAGTCTTTGATCACTACTGTTTTAGTGGCGTTCAGGATTCTTTGTCCTCTTAGTAAGAACAAAGACAACAAGAATGCTGAAACCCTTCGAAAAGTGACCCTAAACATAGACAATCCGAATTATAATCGACTATTCGAGGTCGAGGTCAAAGAAAAAAAAAAAAAAAAAAACAGCCTATCTTTACTGCTGTACATTGTAGTTGTAGTGTAGTATGAATTGTATACAAAAGAGGCCGTGGCAAGATGAAGTCATTGTATTTCCCTTACATAGGTAATTAATTATTCCCTGCACGCTGCACGTTTTATTACCATTCATTACCAATTTTGGCGTCACCCACTGGTCATCCAACCCCAGTGAATACAAAATCCAAGTTACTTCATCTTTTGGTTTCTCTTCCAAGACTCATCTCCTCTGCTTTTTCGATTTCACTTTTCAACTTCTTCCCTCTCCTTTGATTACACATTTACATTCTTTCCCGAAATCTTCCACTGGATTCTAGACCATCCGTGTGCTCCCCTGCAGTGACCCCCTCTCTTGACGTGGACCCCGATCATTGGCCTCTGCCACAAACCTGACCCTCTCTGTCAGCCACTTTTCACCGAGGTTTTGGTCACCGACTTCTCCTGCACATTTGGCAGTCCAGGACGCCACTCCAGAACAACGTAAAACCAGTCAAGCCAAAACGTTGAGCCGGATCGGCGGGTCTCCATTTGCCCTAAATCCGCCAACCAAATCTTGTCATCTTCAATTCCTTCGTTCTAGGCCTTGTTTTTGTCCTTCCCGGCAACAAAGCACAACGGCACAAGTGATGTGTAGGCTCGTTGCGCTACGCTGAACCTGGCCCACTTGGTGTTCTAAACAATCTCCATCTCTCTCCAGTTTCCCAAACCCCTGCACCTGCTGCAGCCATTTTTCGCTTGTGCGTTTCTGTACAGATTCCGATTTCGGCAACAGCATGTGGTCATCGGCTATTCGTTCTGTTGTACCATCGCATGTGTAACGACCCGTATTCTGCGCAACATCCCATTCGATCCTCGTGATATCTCATTCGCTCTTACCAACAACAACTCACTTCTTCACCGTCAAGCTTTCCCTGTCTAGGCGCCGTGCCTTACTTTTTCTGCTTACCCTTTTGGGCCCTGTGTCTGCCCAACTACCTGGCTACCTCTCGGGTCTCCTGACTTGTCTACGTTGTGCCAGTCCATTCTGACTCGACAGTGACCATGGCTGCGGAGTCCGAGAGGCCGCCTCACCTTAACGGCACCTCTAGTCGATCCAGAGCGCCGAAGGATGTAGAGGCGGCGTCAGACCTTGCGCATCGATCGACCAGCGGAAATAGCATGATGGAACGATCCATCGTTACGTCCCAGACTCAACCCATGTCTCAGGTCCCTAAACTTTTTCCCAATCCTCCTACCGCTTCCGCTCCCGCGTCTGCTACGAACTCCGCTGTTTCCTCCCGCGAACCCTCCCCGGTCCGACACTCCTCACGAGCCTACAATCCTTCTTCGCCCAGCCGGGTATCTTCAGACTCACGGAAGACTAGCCAAGACCAATCCAGTCCGACCCGTCACTCCACCGGCTTGACATCTGGCCCACCTACAAACTCACCAGCACCGAATCTTCAACGTTCCTCGTCTTCTCCTGTCAGATCCCTTGTACTCTCTGCTCCTATCGACTCGGCCAATGTTCCCGGTCCGGAAAAGTCCAATATGCCATCATGGGCCGCGAACCGTCGCACGGAGCTGGATTCGACACTTCCGAATACTTCGCATAAACGATCTTCATTGCCGTTGGAGGATTTCACACCCAAACCAGACCGAAATACAACCCGGACTGTCGCTAGAGGCGTCGGTGGGCAAGGGCCCTCCCTAGAAACTGTTGAGGAGATGGCAAGCAATCCCTCTACCCCGTCCAGTGACACTCCTACCAAGCCGGTGATCCCGGAGGAGTCACGATTGCACCGGATCGATGAAGACCCGACTCCACGTGCTCCGCCTCAAACTTTAGGGAGTGGCAGTGACAGTGGTGAGAATCGGAGTTCAGAACCAAAGGAAGAGGCTCGCTCACAGGTGTCTGGTGCGGCCAAACCACCCAAAACACTCATGTCACAGCGATCGACAACATCACTCAGTGCTGGTGCTCGGGGCAAGCCTGCTGACGGCTCAGTTCGCAACATGATTGTGGAAACAGAGACCGTCAGTTCGATACCGCAAGTTTCCATGGGAGTGGGAAATGGTGAGCGAGGTAGCGCTTCCCGCGTAGACCAGGGTACACTTCGCATGAAGCCTTCCAATGAGACGATTCGTCCGCGCAAAGAAAAGAAAAAGAACCGTCGACCCAATGCCCTGCTTACAGCAGGCCCCGTGACAAGCAAAGCAGACATCTTTGAGGCTAGAGTGGCCAATGCAGTAGATGAGGCTGATGTTTCGGACTCCGACGAGACTTTCGTTTACGACTCGAACCCGCCTGATCCATACCCTTCCCGACCACCCCGGTATCATTCTCGGACTCCTAGTGCGACCTCTATGGCGAGTCAAGCGGACCAGATGTCTAGTCGTACCCGAGGATTGCGGGATTCTTCTCACGGTGTGACAGGCAAACGCAGCATGAAGTTTACCAACGCCAACCTTTACAACAACAGCAGCATAGATGGCGATGGTGTCGAGGCTGATATGGCTTCGCGTGCCTCTAGAACTGATGGAAGTGGAACCATTACTCCCCGGCATCATAATTTGGGCCGCCTTCATGGACGCAACGGCGTGCACCCAAATCTTTTCGACAACGACACCGCAACCTCACAGAGTCAATCTCAAAAGTCTCCGCGCCATTTCATCGGTAATAGCTATAGGCATTCACGTCACAGCAATACTCGGTTGTCTCCCAACTACAGAACTATTAGCGGTTCCAAGAAGGGTAACGAGCTTCACAGCTATGACTACGAGGCAGAGGGTGCAGACGATGAACGTACACCGTTGGTAGGCACACCACGTACAATCCACAGTCGGAATGGTCGGCGGCCCAACAGTGCAAGCTTGCGGCAGATGGAGTACATGGCGCAGCGGGAACGCGGGGTTTTCGCTCGATTCGGTTCATGCGCTATTATCTTCCTTATGTTGTTGATTGTCGCTGGTGGTGCCACCTCATTCATCATTGCGGTAACCCAACCCCTTCTCGATGTGCAAGTTATTGCGATTCAAAACGTGCTGGCTTCGGAACAGGAAATCATGTTGGATTTGAACGTGCAGGCCGTCAATCCGAACTTGTTCCCTGTGACCATTGACGACACCGATGTCAACATATTCGCAAAGAGTCGCTTTGTTGGAACCGACAAGCTTTGGCGTGAGCATGGTGATCTGGATAATTTCCCACGCGTGGAGCAAAGCCGACGTCGCTGGCAGTTGTCACAAGCCGTGAAGTGCCTGGGCAATGTGAACTGTATCAAGGAAGCCATGCCTAGCCACTCTGACCCACACACCAACGATGGAGTCGACAAGGGTACCGACCCCCCAACCGATCCAGAAGGTGACCCGCGGTCAATGTTGCTTGGCCGGGTGTTCCACTTCGATTCCCCACTGTCTTTCGAGTCATCTCCTTGGAATCATTTGACTTCCAGCTCCAAAGGACAGATCCGCCTAGCCCGGCCAGGAAACAAAACTGAGGCTGGAGGCACAGAGCGCTGGGAGCGAGTCCTCCAACACCCCTTTGAGCTGACTGTCCGTGGCATCATCAAATACCAGCTCCCACTCAGCTCTCGCTACCTCTCGGCATCTGTTAGCTCTAGCATCAAGGTGGTGCCTGATACCGATGACAACGATCCAGAGCAAAAATCTCCGAGCAACGGCACAGTGCAGATTTCTGTACCACAAAAAAACGCAGCATCCATTCGCCTTCCACTCGATACTCGGTCCACCGGATCAGTGAATTCGAGACGACCTTTTACGGCATAACAAATTTAGCGATAGATCGATATCATTGACTTACGACAGCCCTGTTTTCTCTTAATTATCTTTTATTTTATTTTTTTCACTTCATGTAACGCGACGAAAAGCAAAGAGCCTATTGCCTTTGGCGGCCCACTCTGCATACATCATACAGATACGCAGTATGGCCCCTATCTTTCCTTGAGACTTCTTTCCGCAATATACCCTATTTGCAATTTTCGTCTTTTTGCGCTCGCCTTGGACAGTTCTATCACGGATCAACTCCGTATGGTCCTTGTTATCCTTTTTCGTCTTCTCTCTTGTCTTTTAACAAAACGATCTCGGATATGGCTTTTTCTTTTGCTGGCGATTTCCTTCCTTGAAATGGATGCAATATCTGCTACATACGCTCCCTCCATTCATTCCTTATACAGCAGCCATCCATGTTTTTTTGACCAGGTTTACTCGAGGTTCTTTCCCATGTCTATTCTTGGTGCGAAGCACGCTGTATCTGTACTATTTGTCTGGTTTCTGGCTGATCTCGGAATCGCCCTTGTGTTATCTTTTTGTACAGCAGGACTTCTGGGAAAGATATTTTCTTTTTCATCATTAGCTCAGTCTTCGAATACGAGACGGGTTGGGCTTTTCATAATGTTGTTTCATACTATTAGATGGGTTTGTGTCTATATTTCTTTTTCGTTTGAGTCCCTTGTATACATACATATGGTTGTGCTTTCGGACTTTGGATATACACTAGTATTAGTTATGGAACAGATATAACTAGGTATTACTTCTATTACTGCTATATAGTTCAGCTAGCCTTTTGACCTCGCACATGATACCCGCTCATTACTCTATGCAACTTGCCTATATATGGACTATTATGTACCAAAAAGGATATTGGAAATATGACCTATACCATCTTATAAAAAAAAGAATAAATAAAGCAAGCATTGCATTATCCGAACAGACATACACATCATAAAATCATTATTATCATCGGCAGCAGGCATCATTCGTAACCATGTAAACCAAGATTGACCAGCATAAAACATCAAGGATAAAATACTAAGGAACAATAAGATAAAAAGCGAAAGAGATAGGGAAATGTAGAAAATAAAGTTTGTCAACCCAGGAAAACCACCTAAAGCAGAAGAAATATCATAGGGTCAAGGGGATAGACAGGGATAGGTAGGATAGAATGAAACACCACACAGCAACCCGCTAGAACAGAACCTTGCTAAACTTATTCACCAGGTCCTCGAATTTATCCACGGCAGGGTCCCGCTCGGGAAGAAGACGGCCTTGCCCGTCAAAGCGGTTGGGTAGGTCGATAGTTGAGTCAGACTCTGCTCCAGAGGCTTTGTTCTGGTCTCTTTCCTCGTGGTGTCTTGGGGCTGGTGAGTGATGCTGATGGTGACTAGAACCAGGACTGGGATAGGGCGTAGGCGGATAGGGGACAGACGAGGAACGGTGGCGACATCGGTGATGGCTGTCATGATCTCGATCGCGACGGTGGTTTCTATCTCCGCGACGCGAATATGAATATGATTCAACGGTAGAGTCACTATCATCAGTCTCGTAGCCAGGATCACGTGGGGAATCCGTCAAGTCGAAAGCGACGGATTTCGAGACTTGTGGTGGTTGGCTAGTTGACCGGGGGGAGGTGGAAATGGGTGGATGTTTAGACCTGTCGATTGTGAATTAGCTTTTATTGCATTCTATTGAGTCACAGTTGTGGTTCATTGAACCCACCCTTGTGCGCATGGTTTGCATCAGGAGGTAGGGTGGAGCTGCTCACATTGTCATCAGCCCTACGCGGCCGAGGTGCGTACTGCTCGGGTCCTGGCCCGGGTCCCGGTCCTGGTCCTGGTGGTGCGGCACCATAGGCGTAAGGCTGGGGAGGGGCAGCGCCGGGTGGAGGAGGGTAGTCTGCAGGATTGTAGGAAACAGGGGTACCGCTGTTCAGGTTGTAGGTTGAGTCGCCTGGGGGCGGGGGGAAATAGTTGTTGTTGGGGTAGTAGTGGGGGTCAGCCATGGGCGGGGCACCCGGGGCCGTCTGCGGGGAAAGCGGGTATGGTTCTGGGTCATAGGATTCTTCATAAGGATCACGGTGGATGTGGTCGTCACGCTCTGATTACACCACTAGTCAGGGTGAATATTTCTCAATAGAATTTGGGGGAAGTGGAGACATACTAGAGTGTTCGCGTTCGCGCTCTTTGGACTTGCGACGCTCGTTATACTTGTGTGCAGCATACCCGAGCCCCGTTGCGCCCAGTGCGGCGCCCGCAAGGTCTCTTGAGCGGCTACGGTGCTTCCCGCTTCGTCGGCGGTGACCTTCGCGGTCAGAACCAGATGAACTACTGTAACGGGCTCGGCTGCGACTGCGGCTGCGAGTATGACGTCTGGGACCGTAGGCTTCCTGTGCATCGTAGTAAGGCGCGCCAGGCTGACCGTAGTAATGCTCAGATGGGATACTGCCTGCGACTGGATCGTTGCCGTATTCGATCAGGCCGGCCGAGTCGCGAGACGGATCGGGATAGGACTGTGACGGGGCGCGGCTGCGAGACCTTGAGCGATGGCGGCCCCGGCTCGAGCCCTCCTTTTCATCTTTGTCACTCTTATTCTTCTCATAGAGGCCGGTGGCAGCAGCAGTTGCAAGACCGGCACCCACAATGGGAAGAGCTTGTCTCAAACGACTGCGGGAGCGGGAGCGCTCACCCTTTCGAGAGCGCGAGTGGCTGCGGGCCTTTTCAACCAGGCCAGCCACGGCCGCACCGGCCAGTCCAGCGCCAGCCATGTGCTTGCGGCGCTCAGACATGCTTCGTTCACCCTGTTCTCCATCCTTCTCCGAGCGACCCCGACTAACAGCCCGAGAACGGGAGCGAGTGCGAGATCGGCCTTTGCGGTCTCCGGCCTTTGACTTGCTACGCAATGCAGCCACACCAGCAGCCACGGCCGCGGCACCAACTCCCAGCTCGAGGAGAGTCTTTGCACGAGAGTGCGAGTGAGAGCGGCTGCGACTGCGACTGCGATGACTCCGGCCATGTCTGCTGTGGCGATGGGAAGAACGGTCATCTTCAAAGGAATGAGCACGATGGCGGCTCTTGCTACGGTGGTAGTAGTCCCGAGCACGCGATGCAGCATTCACAGCGACTGCACCAAGAGCACCGGCACCAACAGTCTTACCGATACGGCTGGCGCCATGGCTGACTTCGCCATCCTTTTTGCTGTGGCTGCGGAACAACTCAGCCGCGCCAGCACCTACCAATGCACCCTCTGCCATATGGCGACGGTGGTGAGGGTGGTCATCATAATCACGGGTTTCCTTCCGGATGTAGACCATGCTGTCATCGCTGCTGTAGTCCTGATCACGATCACCGCGGCGGCGGCGACTAGTCTGGGAGACTGAATCATCAGGGCTCAGCTCACGCCGGGAGCGATGGTCGTCGTACTCGCGGACTCGGCGGTGACGGTGGTAGTAATACGGATCCTCGTCAGCCTCGGAGCGGCGCACGACATCATACTCGGATTCACGGGGACTGGTATACGAAGTGCGGGCTTCACGAATAAGTACGGGTTGCTTTTTGGTACCAATGGTGGTAGCAGTAGGGGACTGCTCCATTCGTTCAAGGGAATCCACGGACCGGGAGTGTGGACGATTGGTATAGGGATGTAGGTACTCACGATCGTAGTAATCTCTCTCGTAGCGTGTGGGTGGCTCATACTCCACCTCTCGCTCATATCGCGAGACGGTCACAGGCTCATCACGATCCGTTTTGCGCCGGATTACCAACTCGCGCTCACCACCGAAAGAATCATCATGTCTCGACATGAAGTCTCGACGGTCGTCTCGACGATCGTCTTCAGGAGAAATGACGTAACGCTTGATTGACACGGGACGGGTCTCGTCCCAGTCTCTTTCGCGGTCTCTGTAAGTGTACGACATGGGGCGTATTAAAGGCAGTGAGAAATGAGAAATGATTGAGGAATGAGTGGAGAAATAAATAATTGAAGGGCAAGAAAAAAGTAAGTTGCACAATGCAAGAAATTGAGGGGGGCGGCAGGGAAGTGGGGTGTGCAGAGAGGGCGCGATCAACAAATGGTCGAAGATTATTCTAGTAGAAGTCTCCCGGGCTGATTCTGATTGGTAACGATTGTCTCAGCCAAACAAATCAAAGCCAAGAAAATCCAGTGGGTTTTGAATAATGATTCAGGATGATGAAAGCCGTCCGCGGGTGTTCTGTAGGGCAGGGAGCGGAGTATCGGCACACGCCCAACCGGCTCAGCCTCAGACTAGAGGATCTGCAGGCAACACCGTATCGGATTCGAAAGACTCGGAGTGGAGAGTTGAAAGGCAAAGGGGTAATTTAGCGAACAATGAGGCAGCGAAGATGGGAGATGAGAAAGAGAGGATGGAAAAGGGAAAGGAAAGAGGCAGAGAGGCAGAGAGGCAGAGAGACAAAGATAAAAGACATCCACGTGAGGCTCTCTCTCTTAACCTCAGTGTTGGTACTCGTTTTGCCCGGGGGCTGTGGCGAAACACTCGAAACACTCGAAACATCGTGGCTTAGATCCAAATAATGCTGTTTGTGTTTGTGGAATTACAGTATTTTGTTTACTCACTGTTCTTTGGTTCTTCCCGTTATCAATCCATGGCGTTGTATCGACTGGCTCGGGTTGATTCCATGGTTCCTAACTTTTATATTGATACATACCTATACAGTACACATACTGTACAACATAATACTTCAATGCAGCCTCGCCTGCATTCCGAATGTCATCTGCTCTAGGGCTGTATTGACAGGTGTATCCAAGTCTAGAAGAATAGATTGGCGCTATATGCAAACAGTCATGAGAACAGTTTCCTGCAGTTTCAGCTGATAAGGGCACGAATAGATTAGCTACAATCCACATATTCTATTATAGATTAATAGATTAATCTTGATCTAAATTTTAGGTTGCCGTTTTAAAAATGACATCGTAGCGTAGGAGATTCCACTAGCCGCCCTGGAGTTGACATCATAGTACAAAGACCACCCCTGTGGATATTGTTGTATCACATCCGGGGCAATAAGAGGCGTTGAATCCAAAGCGCCCTGGTCTTTTGGTTTCTTTGTGGGAGCCCCGCGGATGACGTCAATCGCATGCGGGGCGTTTTCGGCTCACTAGGCACTAAGGCTGAGTCCACTACTTCGCCCCCCAGGTCTTGAACAAAAGATTGGTGAAGATGCGGTGAAGTAGATACTAATAACGATATAAAAGGGAAAAAAAAGGAGTAATTTAATTTAACAGAGCCTCTTTTCGTTATATACAAGAGCCAGAAAAAAAAAAGAAAAAAGAAAAACAGAATAAAGAATAAAGAATATGTAATACTAATTGCTCCCAAGTGCCAAGTTGCACTGTGTTTCCTGATACAGAGCCAGTATCACATTAAAAGCTTGCTGTTAGATGTTGAGTTAAATAGTACCAACACTGTCGAGATTCACCCCCGGGCTATTTAAATCCGAGGCAGCGCCTGTCAGATCTAGGTTTCAAAACTCCGAGGCACAGATGACGACAGGAGGTCACTCAATGCAAAAGGCAATACCAAGATGACGCCTGGTGCTTAATATGAACTTTGTCATATCCTGGACTCGTATTGCATATGTTGTGTCGGTGGCCTCAGGGTTCGTCGTTACGACGATGTTTCCTTCCAATTTCCAAGAATACATAGTAGTCGGCCGCGTATGCTGCCTCTGTCCTTAGGTATCAGCATAGGGATTTAATAAGCTGATCGACCTGCCTCAAAATGGTGTCAGGTACGATTTACGAAAGCGGCAAAAAGCATAAACCGTGCAAAAGACTTATGTATCTATGTATAACCGGATTTCCGTCTTAGTGTTGGCGATATTGTTGCAGTCCTGCTGTGCAGCTTCCCAATGAAGATATCCCTCGACCACAAATCGAAATAAGCCCCAGTACATTCCAATCTTGATCATTTAATCAGACCTACTGACCTTCTTTCCGATACCCAGAAAAACCGACTGTACAGCAAAACCACAATACACGAGGTCGAAATATTGATAGAGTCTGTATCGGGCAGAATTAAAGCTGTCATTGTCATGCAGTAGATGCAGTAGAATTGCAATTGTCCCTGTTGGGTTGTTGAAGGGCCTTTGTACACGATCAACGTAGGACGCAACACCCCAGTACTATTCTAAATCTCCGTCTTTCTAAATGCCTTAGGCACAGGCAACTTGACAGGGGTATCAGTGCGCACTGTGTCCTGAATAAGATGCTCAAACGAAGGCGAGGATCCAACACGAGGTGTGAAAGGCTCAAAGTCCCAGAGATAGCCGAGAGTGCGCAGGATCGAAGAAGCAGAGTAAGACACGACCTCGCCATCCGAGTTAGTACCCTTCTGCTCGACCTGACCCTTAGCAATCCATGGTGATATCAAGAGAGTCGGGACGCGACCACCGAGACGGTCAAAGGAGAACGTATATTCCTCGCCGGAAGGCGCGATCTCGGTGTACGTCAGGTCATCCGGGCGGGTAGCCAGCGGGGGCGGGACGTGGTCGTGGAAACCGCCAGTCTCGTCGAAGGTGAGGATCAATAGTGTCTCTTCCCACTGTGGGCTGGAGCGGACTGCGTCGTAGACATTCTTGATGAGAGTTTCGCCTTCGGAGACGAGGCCAGTTGGGTGCATGGAGTTTGTGCCCACACCGCAACAGGACGGGTCAACGAAGGAGAATTCCGGGAGCGCGCCAGCTGCCGCATCAGCGTAGAAGTTATCCAGGGGGACTGCTTTGTCGGAATTTCCGCTTGTGAAGGTCCAGTCGAAGAAGTAGGCGTCAACCATACTAGAGCTTGTGTAGTAATTCTTCCAGGTGTGGTTGGTTTCTGAGAGCTGCTGGAAGATGGAACGTTGAGTGAGACCGTGGACGCCCGGGTTGAAGGTATCATCGTTGGTGCCGTGACCGGCCGATGTGCCTGAGAGTACAAAAGCCCGGTTGGGATTTGTGGGCTATTTTACATGTTAGACATACTCATGTGCGGCGGTTATAGAGCATGTAAATTCGTTCGGACTTACACCAGGGTGGTCCGAATGCCAGTGGTTGAAGGTGAGGTAGTTCTGCACCAATGCAGTCATCACTGGCACCTCATCCTCGACATAGTAGTTGATAACCTGCTTGGCCAGATAAGCCTTATCGGCATCATCGCCATAGCTACGCAGCTGCTCATGTACAAAGCCATGCTGAGTGGGAGTGAGCTTGCCCTCAGCAATGTGAACATTGCTTGGGGCGAAAGTGCCATAGAACTCGATATTGTTTCCAGTCACCGAGTGATCAGGATCATCCAGAACAGAGTCAAAGTCCTTAGCAGAGCTGCACACATTGCCAGCTGAAGGATCAGTCAAGTTGTACGGGTTGCAGAAAGGGCCATTGTTGATAGGGTTCTCTAGCCCCTTAAGAGTCTGCCCGCCGAGTAGGTTGTCCACAGAGCGGTTTTCCATTTCCAGGATAACAACATTTTTGATCTTGCTCTTCAGATTGGCGATAGAATCCGAAGAATGAGGGGATTGTTGAGCCTTTGCATCAGCGGAGACCGCTGCCGCAAAGGTCAACAGGCCAAGAAGGGCACTGAGGTTCATTATGAATCAAGGGGACAGACTGGTCCAGGGTCTGGGTAGAGTGTTTTCTTTTGTGAGATTTGAATCAAAGGATGTAGTGTCTTATATGTTGCATTTAACCAAATATCCCTGGCATTCCTCAGAACAATCCAAATTTCCAATATCCCCTTCCACGTGTTGCTCTGGAAATCACCGCTCGATGGAGTTCTATCTACAAGCATGGGAATAGAGAGGGTAGTGATCAAGCTGCGGGGTCATATGAATTAACACTCTCACAAGGCGGGGGTGGACAACGCCAATATGAAATGCACCTGATTGCCGATTGGCGATCGTCGCATCGTCTCCATGTTCCACATGTGATTGGCTGCTTGGGATTAATTTGCAGGCACCTTGATCACGTAAAAGAGGTACCAGCAGCACAGAGTGTTGTGTTGCACGTTTTTGAGGCCGGCGGACTAGCACTTACCACGCCAAGTATTCGCACAGACTGCGAAAGTGCTAACGCGAAGAATGACCCTAGAAAACGGGGTCATGAGTTGCCTCGCCAAGTTTGGTATGTTCGCAATTCTATTCGGTCCACTTCGTGCTCTGTGGAATTCCCCGGACCACAACAAGACAACTGCCATGGGGTTTCCCACGCTAGCACTGTCTGGATAAAGTACGACTTCCACAACGCTCAACATAAAGTGTCGATCATTCTGATTGATAACATTTGATGCATCTTGAGTCAAGTATCATGCACTCTAGCGGCCGTGCAGGCAGCGAAGGCGGTGATTGGCTATCAACCTTGCACCAACCAACAACCTGAGGTAGTGAGCTGGATTAGGTTATTTTGTAGAGTCCGATGTAGTATTCGGATAATATGCAAGTGTTGCGGATACAAGTCCGTAAATATGCGGGGGTAAGTCGACCTTTAGCATATTTCCCACCAAGGATCACTCATTATATATTTACAACGTGAAGTACAAATGCCAGGCATTTTATCGAGCTATAGCAATATAATCTAACAGATATATAAAATCCAGACTACAGACTACAGACTACAGATTACGGGTTGATTATTCTCGCTAGCTGCTGATTCAAAATAGAGAGATCCAAAAATAAAGAGAAGCATAAAGCAGGGACAATATGCTTCCGAAAGAAGAAGGTGGGTTTATCACGTGTTGATTCCTTAATAATGTATTTAGTTGATGCCTGCAGATTATGCCCGCAATTTCACCATTACAAATGCCCTAGATTGATAATGATAACGTCTATACGTTTTTAAGCGTACGCTCAATCTTCTAAACCCGTCCAAACCTGAATATTTTAAAAATCCCCAAATTATTCTTGCA